CCCGAGTTCGGCCCTGATGGCAAGGTCAAGCCCGAGGGTTACTTCGTCATCCCAATCCCTCCCCCGAACGTCACGGGTTCCCTGCACATGGGCCACGCTCTTACCAATGCCCTTCAGGATACTATGATTCGTTGGGAGCGGATGAAGGGAAAGACCACTCTCTGGCTTCCTGGTATGGATCACGCCGGTATCTCCACTCAGAGTGTTGTCGAGAAGATGCTCTGGAAGAAGGAAAAGAAGACCCGCCACGATCTTGGCCGTGAGGAGTTCATGAAGAGAGTGTGGGCTTGGAAGGACGAGTACCATGCGAACATCAAGAATGCTTTGCGGAGAGTCGGTGGTTCTTTCGATTGGTCGCGTGAGGCCTTCACCATGGACCCCAACCTGTCGGCTGCCGTCACAGAGACTTTCGTACGGCTCCACGAAGAAGGCATCATCTACCGCGCCAACCGTCTTGTCAATTGGTGTGTGGCCCTGAATACCTCTTTGTCCAACCTCGAGGTCGAGAACAAGGAGGTCGAAGGACGTACACTGCTTGACGTGCCTGGCTACGACAAGAAGATTGAATTCGGTGTCTTGACCCACTTCTGCTATGAGATTGATGGCACCAAGGAGAGAATCGAAATCGCTACCACTCGTCCAGAAACCATGATCGGTGACACAGGTATTGCCGTGCACCCCGACGACAAGCGCTACCAGCACCTCATTGGCAAGTTCGCCCGTCATCCCTTCGTCGACCGCTTGATGCCCATCGTTGCCGATACGGATGTCGATCCTGAATTCGGTACCGGTGCGGTGAAGATCACCCCTGCCCACGATTTCAACGATTTCAACCGTGGAAAGGCCCACAACCTCGAGTTCATATCCGTGCTGAACGATGATGGTACGTTTAACAAGAATGGTGGCCCATTCGTTGGCATGAAGCGTTTCGATGCCCGTTACAAGGTCATTGAGATGCTGAAGGAGAAGGGATTGTACGTGAAATGGGAGAATAACCCCATGAAGATTCCTCGGTGTGTTAAGTCGAATGATGTTATTGAGCCTATTCTGAAGCCCCAGTGGTGGATGAAGATGCAAGATCTTGCCGAGCCTGCCATCAAGGCTGTAGAGAATGGTGAAATTGTCATCAAACCCGAGTCCGCTGAGAAGAACTACTTCCGCTGGATGAGAGGTATCAATGACTGGTGTCTTTCCAGACAGCTCTGGTGGGGTCACCAGGCTCCTGCTTACTTCGTCAAGATCGAGGGCGAAGACGGCGATGACAGTGACGGTAACCTGTGGGTTACCGGACGTACCGAAGAAGAAGCCCGCAAGAAGGCCGAGGCTAAGTTCCCTGGCAAGAAATTCTCCTTGATCAGGGACCCTGATGTGCTCGATACCTGGTTCTCGTCCGGCCTGTGGCCCTTCTCGACGCTGGGATGGCCCCGCCAGACCCATGATCTGGAGAACTTGTATCCTACGTCTGTGCTCGAGACTGGCTGGGATATTTTGTTTTTCTGGGTATGCTTTCCGCTACATTATGTTCGCCGTGGCTGTGCTAATCAATCTACAGGTCGCACGTATGATTATGCTTGGTATCAAGCTGACCGGCAAGGTGCCCTTCAAGGAAGTGTACTGCCATTCCTTGATCAGGGATTCCGAGGGCCGCAAGATGTCCAAATCCCTTGGTAACGTCATTGATCCCTTGGATGTTATGGAGGGTATCGAGCTTCAGTCTCTCCATGCCAAGCTACTTACTGGTAACCTTGCCGACAAGGAGGTTGCAACTGCTACCAAGTACCAGAAGAAGGCCTTCCCCAAGGGTATTCCCGAATGTGGTGCCGATGCTCTGCGTTTCGCCCTTGTGTCCTATACTACTGGTGGTAAGTTCTGATATTACCTGGCCTAGGATGGCCGAATCAAGGCACCGACTGACTTTGGTCTAGGTGGTGATATCGCATTCGACATCCAGGTTATCCACGGCTACCGCCGTTTCTGCAACAAGATTTACCAGGCTACTAAGTTCGTCTTGGGCAGATTGGGTGATGACTTCAAGCCCCTGCCAGCCCCTTCAAAGACTGGCCGGGAATCTCTCTCTGAGCGCTGGATTCTGCACAAATTCAACACTGCTGCCAAGGAGGTTAATGAGGCGTTGGCGCAGCGTGAGTTCTCTGTCGCCGCTTCTACCACTTACCAGTACTGGTACGGCCAGCTTTGCGACATCTTCATCGAGAACTCGAAGTATCTCTTGGCGCCTGAGGTGCCCGCCGAAGTACAGGAATCGGCCAAGCAGACTTTGTACACTGCCCTCGAGGGCGCCCTGACTCTCATTCACCCTATAATGCCCTTCGTTACGGAGCACCTGTGGCAGCGCCTACCTCGCAGACCTGGTGACGAGACCATCTCGATCATGAAGGCTCGTTATCCCCAGTACAACCCAGAGTTCAACGACCCCGAAGCCGAGACGGCTTACGAGCTCATCCTGAATACCTCCAAGGCCATCCGGTCGATCCTTGCCCAGTATGAGATCAAGACTAAGGGCGATATTATTATCCAGACATATGACCCCGTCAGCCACAAGACCATCTCGGACGAAGTGACCAGCATCAAGTCCCTGGGTGGCAAGTTCTTGGGAGAGCTCAGCGTAGCTGATCCCGAGAACACCAAACCCCCTTCAGGCTGCGTCGTTGCTCCTGTCGGTGCCCAGGCCGCTGTGTACCTGCGTGTGTCGAAAGAGGTAGCTCTGGAGCAGGAGGAGAAGGCCAAGGCCAGCTTGGAGAAGGCACGCGAGACAGTTCGCCGCCAACAGACTCTCGTCAATGGCGCTGGATGGAAGGAGAAGGTTAAGCCAGAGGTTCGTGAACAGGAAGAGAAAAAGCTTCGGGATGCCGAGAGTGAGGCTACCCGGTTGGAAGAGCAGATTCGCGAGTTTGAGAAGCTTCGCTTGGAGTAGATAGTTATGACCCGGAGATTTAACAATAAAAATCGGCGTTTTACTGTTAATTGCATACCTTATTGCTTGTTACTTGGACCATAGCGAGTTTAATCTGTCAACATGTATGCTTTTCTGCTGGATCTATAGATAGTCCATCAAATACTTCATCAGAATAATATAGGAAAGAGTCTCCAGTTAAGCTTATCGATAAGCGGCGCCAAGACATTTCCGCCAAAACTTTTCGCTCCGCTTTTTTCTTCCTCGACCAGGCAAGTCGGTGATCGGCGAAACATCCAAAGTTTTCGTTGTTGGAAGCAGAAAAAATCAAAATGCTCAGAGAAGTGTAAGTCTTGTTATGGAGTCAAAATTTTTCGTCTATTAGGAGAGCAGTTTCTGACTAGGTATTTCTCAACAGCAAACCCAAGAATCCGCGCACAGCGCGCATTCTCAAGGCCCGCGAGCCCCAGCTCATCGAACCCCCCAAGAGAACCCTGTTCATGCATGGCTCAAAATGCCCGACGGCACTTAACACAGTCCTGAAGACATTCCACTCGCTGACAATCCCCCATTCCGTCCTCTTCCACAAGAAGAATGAGAACATTCACCCATTCGAGAGCGCCGAGAGCCTCGAGTTTCTCGCCAACAAGAATGAATGCGGTATCGTTGTTTTCGGAAGCAGCAGCAAGAAGAGACCCAACTGCCTGACTGTGGCGCGGATATTCGATTCCAAGCTCCTGGACATGTGCGAATTGATGCTGCTTCCTAACCCGGACGGAGACTCGATCCCTTCCATCAACAACCTCAAGATGCAAATCGGAATTGGTTTACGGCCTATGCTGCTGTTCGCGGGTACTGCTTGGGAAGATTCCACCTCCACCGCTCACGTTATGCTGAAGAGCATGTTCGTTGATATGTTCAAGGGCGAGGAGTCGGATAAGATCGATGTCGAGGGACTGCAGTATGCGTTGATGATAGCCGCGGAGGAACCTACCGACGGCCTGGCTCCTGTCATCCATCTCAGATGGTACAAGCTTCGGACAAAGCGCAGTGGACACAAGCTCCCCCGCGTCGAGCTGGATGAGATCGGGCCCAAGTTCGACTTCAAGATCGGCCGTCTGCATGAGGCACCCGAGAGTGCTCTGAAGGAGGCCATGAAGCAGGGCAAGAGACCTAATGAGAACATGAAGACGAAGAAGAACATCGGCATGGACGTCATGGGTGACAAGATTGGTCGTGTGCACTTGGGCAAGCAGGATCTGTCTGGCCTGCAGACGAGAAAGATGAAGGGTCTGAAGCGACGTGCTGGTGTGGAGTCTGATGAGGAGGATGCGGAGATGATGGATGTGGACCAAGTCTCGGATGATGAGGGACGGAAGAAGGCGAGAACGGAATAGACTTCTGAGTCCGTTTGTCTGGCGATGTTTTTGACGCATGATACTTTGTCTATCTATACCGCATAAGGCGTTCAGGTGGTTTGGTTTCTCTGTCGAGTCCGTCGAGCAGATCGATCATTTTGTTCATGGTCACTATAGCTTAAAAGTATCCAGCATATATCAAAATTATCATATTCTTCTATCAGCCGAGCATACTACTCGAACTGTTTGAATGCATCTGCATTCCTTCGTTATTACCCTAGAAGCAGCAGTCAACGTTCCGTTCATCCTCATGATCCTGCCTCCCATTCAAGACTTTGGAGTTCATTTCTGCTTCGATATAAATAATGACGACCTCCTCGACGGTCTCTTCGATACATAAATCGAAAAAGTAACTCTCTATCTTGATATGGACAAACTGGATAATTGATACTCACGTGACATGACGTCTGTGCTCTTGGTGGCCTCACATGCCGAGGATCATTGCAGTTGCGCGGGTGAAGCGCAGTCCATTAAATACCATCCCCCCCCGCCATCTGTCCTGATGATGGGATCACGCCCATCCATATTTGTACCTTATCATTCCGCCTGGTAGTTCCCTAAATCTATTCCTTTTTACATCCTAACCCTCCTGACACCTGGTGTTCTCCGTCGGTAGACATCAATCCAATCCGTCGCTGGTCCGATCAACCTACCGAGGTCCCGCAGACACCATGGATGCGCTTCTGGTATGCTTGACACTCTAACTCGACTTTGTCAATCCTGCTATATCGCGCGCTTTTCTGATCGCTGTTTAGTCTCGCTTGGATTCGTTTGTCCTCGATCCCCAACTCGCGCCTCTTCTGTCGCTCGTCAAGGGTGCCCGCAATGGCATTGTATACGGGTCGAAAGTGCGGTTCCCGCACGCTTTGGTGTATGTCTGAATCCGCTGGCAGAGACATGCAATCTTTGACATTGGAGATTCGGCTAATGCGAGATATCTTTGTCTTACAGCATGATCTTTCTATTCCGCTCTGGAACGTAAGGCGATCCTACTGACATGCCGAGTATTGCCGAAATACTGATTTCGTGATTCAGATTCCGAGAAAAGGTCAAGCTCGTCCTGAAAGCCACACGCCAGCATGCTCGGAACCTGGCGACGTTTGCTATTATATATAAGAGTTCCATGATCGTTCTGCGCAACGTCAATCCTACTGGTGTCGGGAAAGAAGGCCGCTATGACAGCTTCTTTGCGGGTCTGCTGGGAGGATATGCAGTGTTTGGTCGGCATAAAACAAGCATTACCCAACAGGTGAGATCAATTCGAAGCTTGAGAAGGAGAGATTTAAAACTAATGTGCCCGTCCAGATCGTCATATACGTCTTTGCTCGTGTAGTACTTGCTTTGGCCAAGCTTTCTGTCCAGCCGAATATGCACCCTCTCTCCTCATTGATCACTCCCGAGTCGCGCGCAAACATCGAGGCCAACGCTTGGCCAGTATTTGCAAGTCTCAGCTGGGCACTTGTTATGTACATCTTCCGTTGGCATCCAGAGACGCTTATGTCGAGTTTGAGAAGCAGCATGGTATACATGTATGTCTTAACCTTAACCGCACGATACGTTCACCTACTAATGGTCTTCAGCTACTCCGACTCGGATCACTGGGATTCATTCCGCAACTTTCTGATACACAACAAATAGACCGGCCCTCTGGATTGTCTTTTCTGTTCAGTGTTTGACTCCTCGCACGGCTGGTCAAGAGGTCTGCATACTTACCATGGAGTATACCTGGCGCATAGAATGGGTACATTGTCCCGTTTTCCCTTCTTGTTCATTTTTTCCCTGTATTATGTTTTATCTCATGCAAAGGGCTTGGGCTGCCTCCACATGATTCAGGACACAGTGACTTATGTCTAGCCAGCTTGACTTGAAGAGTTAGCTGGGATCCCTGCCGCAGGCGGATAGGGGAGATGGTGTTTCATGACAATCAGTATAGAGGACTTTGTGAACTGACTTCACATTGTCCAAAGAATACAACAGCTAAAGTATGAGGCCTTCTCCTAATTATGTTATTTTGTGTCTGTCATGGGCGGGGATGTTCTAGGAAACCTAATCAGAACATTCCTGTCACCCAGTCCTTAAGTAAGTATAAAGCCAGTGTATGTCTTCATCGCGCACAGTACTTAAAGCTTCAGTGAAGCCGCACAGAATATACTGCCGTTATCAAAGCGGACTTTGGAGAAGTGACCATGATCTACTTGCCCTAACCCTATACTCATGGAGTCAGGCTGGCAATAGAGTGAACACATTCATGTTATATCGGCAAGTCTTATGTCGTACTATAACATGCACTGAGTTCAAATTTGTCTAGTACTTATCATTAACCACTCAGTCAATTTATGGGCATGGTGAGAGAGTCAGGCCTAAAGCATCGGTCAAATTCACTCTAGTGAATGTCACTCATCATTCACTAATCAGCAACAACTCACAGGACCTCTTTATTATATCCTCAACTTCATCCGCAGTCAAAAAATACACTATACCTTCTCGACAATCCTTTCAAAAGGATTTCCAAATGAATCCAGAAGTGAACAGAGCCAGTGACCCCGATCCAAACGGGGATGTCGTCCTCGTGGTATCCCCACCAAAGCAGCCTCGCGCATACGCACCTTCCAGAGTTTACTCAGATGGAGAGGCCGGACTCGTCAGATACCGAGCTTCCTCTAAACACTTGAGCTTGGCTTCGCAATACTTTGAAAAGAGGCTGAAGAAAGAATGGGGCGAGGGCGAAGAACTGCAGAAGATCGGCAGCGTTGCGATGCTTCTCCCCAATACTGACCCCGAGGCGTTTTCGATCCTTCTTGATCTAATGCACTGCCGCACGCAGGAAGTTCCTACCGTGGTGACCTTTGATGAGTTGGTTGAGCTGGCTGTCCAAGTCAACTACTTCAAATGCCACGGAGCTCTGGGGCTGTATCCCGCGAGATGGATCGAACATTTGAAGGCGAAACGCCCCAACGCTTACTGTGATGAGATCATCAAGTGGATTTTTGTTTCTGGGGTGTTCAATGACTGTGAGCTCTACGCATCTGTTACCTGCTTGGCGATACGACAGAGCAAGGACATCATCAATACGCTGGATCTTCCTATACCGCTATCTGTTACAGGTGAGCCTATATGAGCCATCTTAGCGATGTTACGCTCACATAGAAAGACACGATCAATCTGAAAAGGAAAAGTCTGCTGTACCTTTTATGCAGAGATGTGGAAGTGAGGCGGCATAGATTGGAGACTGGCGAGATAACCTGCACTTTCGAGTGCGACTCGTTCAGACTAGGGACACTTATGAAGCAGATGAAGGCCCACGGACTGCCATGGCCACGCGAGAACCTGGATTATAAAGGTCTTGCTCCAGAAAGCGTGGCTAAGAAAATCCTCGAATTCGAGAAGCCGAGCTCCAAGGTAACTTGCAAAGGTCGGTGCAGTGGACTTCTTGGACCGAGAGCAATCGAAGAACTCATATACCATCGAACGAAATCGTGTGGACTCATCTTGATACCGGAACAATGGCGTTGACATCGTCAGAAGGACCTCTTGAAAGTACATGTGTGGTTTGACTGTGTAAGCCCTCAGGTCTCAGTTGATTCTTATTCATTCAGTCATGTGAAACATAGGAATTGAATGTGTTCTAAGCCTTCCAAATAAGCGATCAAATTCATCTCACTTGAAGGACAATGTAACTCCAGTTTTAACCAGTACATGCAGTGAATTTTTTAATTCTGTCCATATATTGACGATTTACAGAAGCCTATCCTCTAATGTCCATGGCATACCTTCTCCTTACTAGTGAGCAGATCAGGAGACTATGCTCACAGTATCTGAGCTGTATTGCAAAAAGTGAGGTTAATAACACAAGCATCGCTACAGCAACACCTACTCTCCTCTCTCTAACAACAAACTGCTGTCATTCGTTGTCAATCTTCTTAACCTTCTCGTCTCTGAATTGAGCGTCTTAACCTTCTCGTCTCTTCACCAAGAAACTACAACTAACTACACCCAGCCAGCCTCCTCGGAAGAGACAGCATCAAGTATGAACCTCCTCACACACCAGACTCCTTAAGGCTCTGTTCTAACAAGATAGGATGAGTGGTACCTGCTACGAGATCGACCCTTCTGGCGATATTGTCCTAGTTCTATCCGCGCAGCGACGAGCTTCCCCCAAGACCAGCCCAGCAGAGGGAACAACACAAGCAAGGCCAGTGGAATCAACTTCACCAACATCTACAAATGCAGACACGGACACACCTATTCAAAAAGATGCAGAAGAGACACCTCCTAATTCAGAGGAAACCGCATTATCTGCAGTTGAAACTCCGCGGACCCAATTCAAAGTTTCGTCGAAACATCTCACTTTGGCATCAAACTACTTCAACAAACATCTCAAGAAACGTATCTCTGCAACTAGCACAGCAGACCCACCGGAGAAAGTGCATATACTTGACTGCTATCCTGAAGCTTTACTGATCGTCATGAACATAATACACAATAAAGGCCAGCAGATCCCGAAAGAGGTGGATGCGACGATGCTGCAGAAAGTCGCTGCTGTGGTCCGCTACCTCGACTGTCTAGAGGCATGTACCTTCTTCTTTAGAGTCTGGATACAGCGGTTGGTCAATGAGGATAAAATAGTCTTCGACACATGGGACAACTGCTTGAAATGGGTCTATATCAGCTGGGCTTCCAATCGCTATTCCTTGTTTACAAGCTCCACAAGTGCTGCCATGTCTTGGAGATGTTCGTCATCTACGTACCCTGCCGACCTCAATCTTCCAGAGCGTATCAAAGGTATTGTTGTAACCGTCCTCCCTCATCCTTTATTGGCCCCAGCAATCTTCGGGTCTAGATCCAATACGTTTTATGGCCATAGGTGCTAATTACAAACCCATTTTCTAGACGATATTACCAAAGGCTGGAGGACTGCGAGTGAAAAAGTGAAGAGTGTTCTCTCAGCTGAGACTGCACGCCTCAAGGGTGAGACGGTTTATTGCCATTTCGGCTGTGACTCTCTTCATCTCGGAGCAATAATCAAGGCGACGAGTCATATGGATAGTGCCTCGTTATGCTCGGTGCATGAAAGGCTTCAATCGAAAACGACTCATTGCACTGCTGGCAAGCCACGCTGTGTTAACGCTGCGTTTCTCCTCACACTGAAATCTGCGCTTGCGAAAGCGTGCACGGGAGAAGGGCTAGTCTTACGAAACTACCCACTGAATGACTGATTGCTATGGTCGACAAGAGTTATCGATGCTGAGCATCGCCTGGTGTCTTGCTCCTAGTCGAACTTTCATTGTCAATGAGACGATCGCGCTATTGTGGTGTTCCCTGGGCTCCTTTTTCTCCAACAGCATGATACCCTTGCTTCTATCAAACTCTCATCAGAATTTGTGACCTTGTGGATTTCATTGCAGCCCTGAGATAGTCTTTGTGTATCTGATTTCCTGTTCTTTTTCGACTAGGTATGGATTAGGTATGGATTGCCTCGGTTATTGAGACCTGTGTGCTGGGAAGAATGGTGGCGTGGAGTGTTCATGGTCAAAAAGCATGCAATTCTTCTAGGCTAGTCTACCATTAAAAAACATGGGGACGAGTCCAAAACCCAATGACTCGTGTAAATAAAAAACCACTCTACAGCTTGCTCTTGACATCGACCAGCTTTTCGACCTCCGCAAACTGATAATAATAATCTAAGCTCTGCGGGTTGAGCAGAGTACCCGACGGTTTGATCTTCTTGCCTGATACAATCTGCTTTACCGGTAATTCAACCTTCTTCAGATTCACTGTTGTCTGTATCACATTAGTCATATTCAAGTCCCATCTAAGACTGTAACTAGGAGCACGTACCGGAATCTCAGGCGTTTGGAAGACATATTTCGGCACATGCCGGGCACTCAATGCCTTCCGAATTGCCTCTCTGACTCTGGAGACAAGTTGCGGCGTGAATTGGAATCCCGGCCGCATTAACAGGAAAAGCATGACAGATTCGTCGGCGTCGGTTGGCCGTCGCTGGCCGACGCAGATCGAATCCGCGATCTCGGTCGAGAACTGCGTGTCGATTACGTTGTAGATCTCGGCGGATCCGAAGCGGACGCCTGAGGGGTTGAGGACACCGTCTGATCTGCCCAGGAAGAGGATTTGCTTCGTGGCGGGGTGGATGCAGATGAAGTCGCCGTGGGTCCAGACATCTACACATAAAGGTTAGTAGATGCATTGAGAGGGTGGAGTGAGAAGGAGACTTACTGTCGAACCGAGCAAAGTAGGAGTCAAAGTACTTCTGCGGCCCGTCATCGCCCAAGAATTTGACTGGCATAGTTGGGAATGCTGCGGTGGCTACCAGCTCTCCTGGCACACCATCCGGAACGGCGGTGCCTTTGACACCAGAAACACCCTCATCCGCTTGATCGAACACTGCGATGGAAATACCCAGAGCTGGACCTTGGCACCCGCCCACATATAGAGGAGTAAGTGGATTCTCCAATCCAAAGCAGGCAGCGAGGTCGGTGCCGCCAGAGATATTGGCCAACTGGGTATGAGACGGGAAACCCTCATCGTAGAACCATTCAAACAAGGATTCCGAAAGAACCATGCCGGTGCTCGTGACGATGCGGAGTGCCCGGAGCTCTGCGATGTCTCTTGGGCGTATGTTGTTCTTCCGGAGCTCATGGAGATAGCGCGGTGATGTGCCGAAATGAGTCACTTTATGCTTGCCCAGTAGCTCAATGAGGAACTTGGCGTCCGGTAGGAATGGACTTCCATCGTATAAGATGGCTGTGCCGCCGAACATTAGGCCCGATACGGCAGACAGGTACATGATCCACCCTGTCGTCGTGTATTGCAAAACGGTCGAATTTGGTCCATGATCACGGTGCAACCGAGCCTCTTTGTAGGTATTGAGTATGACTCCGCCTACCCCGTGAACGATGGGTTTGGGTTTTCCAGTAGTCCCGGATGAGTATACGACCAGAAAAGGATCCCTGAATCCGACCCTGACAAACTCAAGCTTGTCCGAGGATGCCCTTGCAAGAAAGGCTGCAACGGGTTGTGTTTTGGGCACGTCGGTCACATCGACTGGCTGGCCTGGGAACCGTGGCATCGTGATGATGCCTTCAAATTCGGAAACTTCCCGGAGACCATCGACAATGTCCTTGATTTTTGGTCGAAGGTCAATCCGCTTCCCATTGTAGATTGCGAAATCGTCAACAAAGACGTACTTTGGCTTCAACTGAAGCAGACGATCGAGAATTCCTTTGACGCCCGTGTCAGTGGACGTTGACGAGAACCACGCTCCGAGAGCCGTCGTTGCCAGGAAGACAACAAGTGTATCGACGCTGTTACTTGCTACAGCGGCGACTCGATCTCCCTTGACGACCCCGGCTGCTTTGAGTGCTTGCACCATTCGCCCTGTCTTGCGTCGCAACTCGGCCCATGTAACGTTGGAAGATGGTTCCGAGCCTCCCTCCCTGATTTCTGTTAGAGCAACTTTATTGTCCTCCTTGCCCTTCGTTGTAATCTGGATATGCCCCGAGGTTGAACTCTCCGCCGAAAACAACATATTCTCGGCAAAGTTGAGTCGCACACCCTCAAACCAGGTAGGGATACTGTCAATGCGTGCTGATTCATCGACAACAGTTTTGTAAGTACCTTCTGAGATGATGGGAAAGTATCTCCAGCAAAAGTCCCAAAAGGATGCACAATTCTCCGTTGACCACCGATATAGAGAGTGGTAGTCCTTAGCAATGGCGTTAGACGACAAAGGAGAGCGGGATACTAGTTTCAAAGGTACGTACTGGAAGCTGAAGTCCCTTCTCTTTCTCTAACTCCGTTTTGAAAGCCCACATTTGAGTAGACTGCGGGTTAGGATGCTCCCAGAGCTTCCTCGGCAGGTCGGACGTTGAAGCCATTGGATCTTTACTTGGGAGTACAAGAGTGAAGTTGCTTGAATTTGAGACAATCACTGGAACAACTTCTAGCAGTAACCCTCGATATACTTATAGCAAGAAAAGAAGTATCCTAGCCGAATGAAGTCCGCTTACTGTTCCTATCAATGATAAACTGGCCTCGGTTAATGGCTGATGCCAGTCGGGGGTTTCGCGGAGTTGCGGGAATGCGGGGAAGAAAACGAGAATCCACTTTTAGAGGCGTCTTGCTCTGGGCCTGTCAATCCTTCTGCTGCATTTTGACATAGACCAGCGCTAGTCTAGTCCTTAAAATGGAGCCGGAGTGGTGAGCCATCGTGTTGAATGGGTATGCTGCTGGGCGACTAAGAAAGTCCGCCAACTGGTTAGAGGAGGACTAGGTCCAGTTGACGCTGATAATCAACAAACCAGACCGTTTTTTGGGAAGCGGAAGAATGAATTGTATCATTGATTAGCAGGATGCATAATCTAGCACACTCATTTTAGGCTGCAAAAGGAACCTCTAAATGGAGTCGGAGGTGAAGTGTTGGTGGTAGTCGGTCTCTCCCGAAGCTGCTTTTAGCGTCTGCCATCCACGGCGAGTGCCGACACTTGATGGAGTCATTGTCGACTACTATCCTTATTAACCCAGCATTACTCTCAGTTTCTGCAAGGCTGGTCCTTGCAATTGAGTTCAGAGGAAGTTTATACACTACACACCCACCGAAAGTCTCAACGCACCTTCGAGCCCAAACACCATGGCACCCATCCTCACCTCCAGCCCGAGTCTCCGCATCATTCCCGAACCCTTCACCAAAGAGGCCTTCGCGCCCTTCGGCACCGCCATCAGCTGTCCTCTCCCGCGCGATCTCTCCTCCGCGCCTCCTCTCTCCTCGCTCCCTCCTCACGATCCAACTCCAGTCGTCGCAAACCAATCCTCCGCCCTCAAATACAGCCCCGTCTCCCCACTGCTCGACCGCTACGCGCAATGCCCCAGCGGACAGCCCTCCTCCGCCCGCATGAGCATGTTCTCGTGCTTCCCCCGCAAACTGCGCACCGCCAGAAGAACAGGAGGCGAGAGTAGCGTCTTCGACGTCCGCATCCTGGAGCGACACCCCTTCACCACGCAGACATTCACACCGATCGATTTATCCAGCCAGACCCGCGCAGGCGATGTCGAGGAACCGTTCTACCTGGTTATCGTGGCGCCGACGTTGAAGGGCAAGACGGCAACGGCGACTATGCCGTCGGGGGACACCGTGACGATCAGGGATCCGCCCGACTTGAACAATGTGCGGGCGTTTGTGGCGCGGGGTGGGCAGGCGGTGACGTATGGGGTTGGGACGTGGCATGCGCCGATGGTCGTGCTGGGTTCCAGGCGGGTGGATTTTGTGGCTGTGCAGTTTGTCAATGGGGTGGATGATGAGGATGTGCAGGAGGCTGCGTTTGGGGAGGGGATTGTGGTTGATTTGGGGAGGAGTAGGACGTCGGGTGCTTCGAAGCTCTGAAACGCTCGGGGGTAGTGGTATTCCTGCCTACGTCTGGAATGGAGGCCTTTGTCCATAGAGGATCTCATTATTAATGTATTACGAATGTACGTTAAGCATGACTAGATTGGTATCTTGAGCAAAAGCGCACACCTGAGAAGATATGGTACATGTACATAGAGGGTCAGGAGTAACGAGCACTACGCGGTGGCTGACGCGATAGTATGGCTATGGCTGCCGCCCGAAGACCATGGAGCGCGGTTACCCAACGACTGTCGCACTCGACTGGCCATCTCTAGGGTCTCCTTCGGCAAGCCTGCGAGCTGCGCGACTTTCAGCGCATGGGAGTTACGGTTCACTCCCTTGCGCAGTCGATGGACAAATGAAAATGACCCCGATGCGGTCTCTTTCACATCGGTACAGTACCGCCCCAGTGCCTCGAAGTCGTCGGTCATGTCCGCTAGAGCATGGAAATGGGTTGCGAACAACGTCCGGCACTTGTTGCGGTAGTGCAGGTGGTGCAGACAAGCAAAACTGACTGCTGTCCCGTCTTCTGGCGTTGTCCCGCGGCCAACCTCATCCATGATAACGAACGAGCGCGCTGTCGCCTGCTTCAATATGGTGGCCGTCTCCAGCATTTCCACCATGAAAGTGGACTGGTCTCGGAATAAATCGTCAGCCGCCCCAATGCGACTAAATATCTGATCTACAATGCCAATCTCCGCATACTCAGCTGGCACGAATGACCCAACCTGTGCCAAAATGGTGATGAGCGCATTTTGGCGCAAGAACGTGCTTTTACCGGCCATGTTCGGACCCGTGATAAGCCAGATTCTCTCCGAATCGCCCAAGAAGCAGTCGTTACTGACAAACTGTCGCCCTTGCTCCTCGAGCCCAAGCTTGACTGTTGGATGCCTTCCCCCAACGATTTTGTGCGTTAATCCACTGGTGAGAATCGGACGCACTAAACGTTGTTCTTCAGCCAAGGTGGCGAAAGAGCACGCAACATCAAGCTCGTCCATTACGGCAGCGTTGCGTCTGATCTTCACTAGGTTGAGAATCACTTCGCGGCGCAGTGTCTCAAAGATCGCTTGTTCCTCCTGTCGGATTTGGACTTTCACCTGGTCCATTCGGTCACCCAACGCTGTCCAGGAGGGAAGGTAAAAGGACCGTGTCGATTTGGTTGAAGACACATTCCGCGTTACACCTAGCTCCTCTAGAGACTGCTGGGAAATTTTGGCTCCTTTGACATGGCAAATATGTCCCAGACCAGAAGTCCATCTCAACGAGAGGGCAGAAGACCCGACGGCTTCGCGAAGACGTTGAGTAAGACGGGTCTTTTCATCCTGCAGCCGGTCCAACGACTCATGTAGTTCAAGAAGAGCTGCGCTGGCATTGCGCCTCATGATCCAAGTGTCCGGCGCGGTTGTTTCTTCCGTCGAGGTCTTGGATTGATCGCTGTTCTTAGCTCTCACTTTTTTCGGAAGCGTCTCAACTTCTCCTGGCTGCCCCTCGCTCATGGCTACTTCTTGCGCTAGGATTGCAGCTTCAGTAGCTGTATCATCCTCAAGACGCTGCTTCTGCAGTAGACCTTCTTCATCAATGGCAGCTGAGATCCGATCCGCCAGCATGGTCGGTCCATCCAGACAGAGTCGACCGGTCATAGCTGAGAGACTACGCTTGGCATCGATGGACTGTATATGAGGCAATCTGTCAAGCCGGCCGTTGTCCTGGCTTGATAAAACCGTCTTGATCTCTCTCGAAGCCTGGATGGCCCTGGCAAGGCAGATCAGGTCGTCTGCGTCTCCTCTACCCAAGGTGAATTTCTGGACCAAGCGTTGAGCATCATAGCTTCGCTTTAGCAGTTGGATTACACTGTCGCGTAAATCACTATTTTCGAGAAAGACTGATACGAGGTCGAGTCGTTCGTTGATTACCTGAAGTGACGTGGAAGGGGATGCTACGAATATATCAGTCGATACAGCTGCAATCTGTGAAAAGACAGAACAGGGTGAGACATACTCAGGCGATCTCTCAGCAGACGTGCTCCGCTTTTGGTAGACGTCCGGCGCACCGCATGTAGTAAACTTCCCTTTCCAAAGCCATCACGCGCCGTCTCGAGAATTTCCAGGCCTCGCAGACTGTTACGGTCAATGTTCATAGACTCATTCAGATGTCGCCGACGAGGCGGCTGAAGCTTCAGATTCAAGCCCTGCAGCTGAACTCTGATATACTCCAGCAAGCTATAACCGGCTGCGACCTCTTCCGGCGTGAACGCATCGGAATCTTGGTCAGCTACTGGCGCCTCAAGCACAGAGCTCCACTGTGCTATAGGTAGAATCATGCTGGGGTATGCGAAAAAGGTCATCAAGCGATGGTCATGCCCAACCAGAAGTTGCAGCTCCTGCCCGATCAGGTCCTGAAGTTTCTGGTCCACGAGTATCTCCCGGGCTGCGATCCGAGCAATCGCCGACGGAAGCATCTGAGTGGTAGTCGATTGCGTGAAGAAATCCCCCGTGGATAAGTCGAGCCAGGACAAGCCAACGCGCTGGGATGCGGAAGACAATACGTGCTGCTGCGCAGACAAGTCACCCTCCTGTTGTTCTAATTGCGCTTTCAAGGCTGCCACGTCGATATAAACCGCCATTAAGAAATTGTTCTCCGAAGGGTCCATGAACTTCTCATCGATTAGGGTACCTGGCGTGATAATTCTGGCTACCCTGCGATCAAATAGCAGACCACCCCGGGCTTTATCCTCGGTGGCATTGGCAAACTCTTCGCTGATAGCCACGTATTTATTCAAATCTTGGACGAGTACCTTCAGAAACCGATCTAGCTGGAAGAAGGGAAATCCAGCCATGGGAACAGGTCCCGCGCTGGTCTTCTTGACGGCGAGCTTCAAGTTCAGTAACGGAGCTAGCTCTTCAGCCTGCTCAAAGTAGAGCTGGAGAATCTGTCAGGGATCTATTCTGCCTTCAGAAGAAGAAATACGACTGTCTAACTCTACTTGAACCGCCAGTCCGAAGTCCGTACCTCGTAGAAGCCCCCTACTCGAGTCAGAATAACACAATTCCTGAACTTCTGCATGTTATTCCGATGTCCCTGTACGACCGTGGGATACCGAGGCGCATCGTCCGTAGCGTCGGTAGCGCCGTCGTCATACGGCTCGAGCTTCAATGTCCCCTGCGGTAGATCCTTGACTTTGACTGTAGTCCTCGTTCTTGCCCCCCTTCTGAGCTCGAGATGAGGCGTTGGTAATTCCACGCGGGCGTGTGGACGGTGCGCATGGTGACAGATCGTTCGGTGCACAAGGCAACGATGCGCGGCAGAAGTGTCCAATTTATGGACATGATGGAATTGCGACGGCACTAAACGGGCGAATCGACATCCATTGATGCGCATGGTCCTGAGCTGATCAAGTCACCGAGGTGATGTTGGTGTTGCTGTGGATGAGATGGCGGGCGGCGATAACCAAAAAGGGAACCTCGAATCTCAGGTGTCATTCGCCAAACCTTCCCGCTTCGCCACTGAAATCTGCTGCAGAAGAACTTCCCGACAACTTTCAACCCCATCTCCCTTCAACCATCCAAACCACTACAGGCAGCTTGCAAACCTGCAACAACGAGTAAGCTTGCCTGCTGCAAGAGGATGATCCAGGTTTGTGAAACCTTTACGGACACTTAATTATTTCCACCATTCATTTCTTGACGCAGGTGTGTCGACGCGCCGGCTGAATCTGAGCTCCACCGAGCCCGGGCGACTGAAAGAAGTCGTCGCACTATCGTTCTTTCTTTCTCGGAATTTTTTTTTGATTGCAGTTGAAGCACCATCAAGATGGCGGACCAAAATATCTCCCAGTACAAATACTCGGCGATGTCCAACCTGGTTCTCCAGGCGGACCGTCGTTTCATCTCTCGCATCAATGATGAACCCACCGGAGACCCAGAATCCCTTGCCGGACGCATCAGTATTCGGGAGATGGGCTCAAGGGTCGCGCATGACGATGCGCCGAAGACCAAGAAGAAACCCGTCGGACCTACAGATATCGAGCGAGGTGCGATCCGAGAAGGCGAGGATGTGCTCGCTCGAGAACAGAGAAAACGTCGCGGGCAACAGCAATTACGCGGCCAGGGTATTCTCTCCGCTGCCGATGCTCTTATCGAGGGGTTGAAATACCGCCCTCGAACACCCGCCACCCGCGCGACCTACGATCTCATCCTTACGATGACCGCGAGTCATCTGGGCGATGTCCCTCACGAAGTCGTCCGAAGTGCTGCCGATGCTGTGTTGGAGCTATTGAAGGACGAAGATATGAAGGATTTTGACAAGAAAAAGGAGATTGATGACTTGCTTGGCAGCTCCATGAGTCCAAAAGAGTTCAATGAGCTTGTAAATCTGGGAAAGAAGATTACGGACTACGATGCGCAAGACGAGGACGAAGAGATGGAGGGCGGAATGGACGGCCAGGAAGAGGCAGAGCTCGACGAACGCCAGGGTGTTGCGGTCGTCTTCGACGAGGAAGACGAGGATGATGAGCGAATGGGCACTGTCACCGAGGTCCGAGACGAGGATGACCTGACCGACGATGAAGAGCCAGATGAACAAGAAGCTCCCGATGTCGAGGCTGCGACGACCGAGAAGGCAAATATCGAAGGTCTTGAGGCTGAGGAAGAAATGGTCATCGACGGTGGGCTAGATCGCGCCGACCAACGACGGGATAAGCACTTGATAGTTCCTGCCCGGCAAATCGACGCTTACTGGTTACAGCGTCAAATTGGTTCTGCGTATACCGACGCTCATATACAGCAGGAGAAGGCCACACAGGCTCTGGAAATACTTGGTGGCAAAGCGGAGGACGGCACAGAGAAGTCCCTGCGAGACGTGGAAAACGATCTGATGGAACTTTTCGATTATGAGCATCCAGACCTTGTCGCCAAATTCGTCATGAACCGTGATAAGATTGTGTGGGTAACGCGTTGGCGCAGGGTTGCCGAAGATGCCGATGCTCGCCATCTCGTCGAAAGTGAGATGGTTGAGGCTGGCCACCGAGCTATTTTGGACGAAATTCGAGGCAAGACGGTTCGCGATGAAGCGGCAGGTCGTCCCGAGAAGAAGATCAAGCTCGATCTGATGGATGTCGATGTCCCTAGCGCACCGGCTCCCGAGCAGAAGCCTGCAGAGAGTGGCTTGGTCGGCGGTCTGCAGCCCAAGAGGCTGATCAACCTGGAGAACCTTGTCTTCCACCAAGGCAACCATCTGATGACCAACCCGAATGTCAAGCTACCTCAAGGTTCCACCAAGCGAACATTCAAAGGATACGAGGAGATTCATGTACCACCGCCGAAACCCAAGCGAGACCCTGGGGAGAAGAACATTCCCGCCACTGAGCTGCCTGAATGGGCCCGTATCGGCTTTGGTAGTGCCAAGGAGCTCAACAGAGTTCAGACCAAGTGCTACCCGGCTGCCTTCCACGATGATGGCAATATGCTTGTCTGTGCTCCTACGGGATCTGGAAAGACGAATGTTGCCATGCTTACCATTCTTCGCGAGATCGGCAAGAATCGCAACCCGGAGACCGGAGAGATTATGCTCGATGACTTCAAAATCATTTATATCTCTCCCTTAAAAGCTCTGGTCCAGGAGCAAGTCGGCAACCTCGGCAAACGGCTCGAGCCATACGGCATTCGAGTTTCTGAGCTGACTGGTGATCGCCAACTCACAAAGCAACAGATTGCTGAAACCCAGCTGATTGTCACGACTCCCGAAAAATTTGACGTCATTACCAGAAAAGCGTCGGAGACGAGTTACATCAAGCTCGTGCGTCTGATTATCATCGATGAAATTCATTTGCTTCATGACGAGCGAGGGCCCGTCATTGAAAGTATCGTTAGTCGGACAATTCGGAAGGTAGAGCAGACCGGAGAACCTGTCCGCATCGTTGGTCTCAGTGCAACTTTGCCAAACTACCGTGATGTAGCCAGCTTCTTGCGAGTCGACCCCAATAAGGGTCTGTTCCACTTTGATGGTTCTTATCGACCATGCCCGTTGAAGCAGGAGTTCATTGGTGTCACCGACAAAAAAGCTATCAAGCAGCTGAAGATGATGAACGATATTTGCTATAACAAGGTTCTAGAGCAAGTCGGGCAGCGAAGAAACCAGATGCTCATCTTTGTTCACTCTCGAAAGGAAACGGCGAAGACGGCCAAGTATATCAGGGATAAAGCATTGGAGATGGAGACCATTGGCCAGATTTTGCGTAGCGATGCTGCAAGCAGGGCTATTCTAGCGGAAGAAGCCGAGTCTGTCGACGATGCATCGCTGAAAGACCTGTTGCCATACGGCTTCGGTATCCACCATGCAGGACTGAGTCTTGCTGATCGTGACTCCGTCCAAGCGCTGTTCGCTGATGGCAGCATTCAAGTCCTCGTATGTACGGCAACTCTTGCCTGGGGTGTCAACCTTCCCGCACATACCGTTATTATCAAAGGAACTCAGGTATATTCACCAGAGAAGGGTAGCTGGGTTGAGCTTAGTCCTCAGGATGTCCTCCAGATGCTGGGACGAGCTGGTCGACCTCAATACGACACGTTTGGCGAAGGTATTATCATCACATCCCAAACCGAAATTCAATACTACCTCTCCCTCATGAATCAGCAATTGCCGATTGAAAGTCAGCTCATGAGCAAACTTGCTGATAATATGAATGCCGAGATCGTTCTTGGAAACGTCCGCAACCGCGACGAGGGAGTGGAGTGGCTGGGTTACACTTATCTTTTTGTCCGTATGCTCCGCTCGCCTGGCCTGTACAGCGTGGGCGCCGATTATGAGAACGACGACGCGTTGGAACAAAAGCGAGTTGACCTTGTTCACTCCGCAGCCGTCATCTTGGAACGGGCCGGACTTATCAAGTATGACAAGAAGACTGGACGCCTGCAATCCACAGAATTGGGACGAATTGCTTCGCATTACTACATTGGCCACAATTCCATGTTGACCTATTCTCAGCACATTCAACCATCCATCTCGACCATTGAGCTCTTCCGCATTTTCGCCCTCAGCGACGAATTCAAATACATCCCTGTTCGCCAAGACGAGAAGTTGGAGTTAGCGAAACTTCTCGGTCGTGTTCCTGTTCCTGTGAAGGAGAGCATTGATGAACCTCATTCAAAGATCAACGTTTTGCTGCAGGCCTACATTTCCAGACTGAAGCTAGAAGGTCTTGCGTTGATGGCAGACATGGTGTATGTCACTCAGTCTGCGGGTCGTATTCTGCGGGCCCTTTTTGAGATTTCCTTGAAGAAAGGCTGGTCATCTGTCGCGAAGACTGCTCTCGACCTCTGCAAGATGGCGGAACGTCGGATGTGGCCGACCATGACACCACTCCGTCAATTCCCTCACTGTCCCCGGGATATCCTGCAGAAAGCGGAGAGAATCGACGTGCCTTGGGCCAGCTATTTCGACCTCGACCCTCCTCGCATGGGCGAACTTCTTGGTATGCCCAAGGCTGGACGGACGGTGTGTGATCTCGTGTCCAAGTTCCCTCGTTTGGAAGTCCAGGCACAAGTTCAACCTGTAACTAGGTCCTTGCTTCGAGTGGAGCTTACCATCACTCCGAATTTCGTGTGGGATGATGCTTTGCACGGAACAGCGCAAGACTTTTGGATCCTCGTCGAGGACTGTGACGGCGAGGAAATCTTATTCCACGATCAATTCATCCTCCGGAAGGACTATGCGCAGGCCGAGATGAATGAGCACCTAGTCGAATTTACTGTTCCCATTACCGAGCCTATGCCCCCTAACTACTTCATCTCTCTCGTTTCCGATCGGTGGATGCACTCAGAGACCAAGATTGCGGTGTCTTTCCAGAAACTGATTCTTCCGGAGCGATTCCCGCCCCATACTCCTTTGCTGGACATGCAACGGGCGCCCGTCAAGGCACTGAAGCGTGAGGATTACCAGCAACTCTATCCTGAATGGCAATTCTTCAACAAGATCCAGTCCCAAACTTTCAAGTCGTTGTATGATACCGATGACAATGTCTTCCTCGGTGCTCCTACGGGCAGCGGCAAAACTGTTTGTGCTGAACTTGCATTGCTGCGGTATTGGGCAACCGGAAAGGGTGGCAGAGCCGTCTATATTGCTCCTTTCCAAGAATTGATTGATCAACGACATGCGGACTGGGAGAAGCGGTTGGGTAACGTCGGCGGCGGCAAGAATATCGTCAAGCTGACTGGAGAGACCACTGCGGATCTGAAATTGCTGGATCAGGCAGATCTTGTTCTCGCCACGCCGACGCAGTGGGATATTCTGTCCCGGCAATGGCAAAGGCGCAAGAATGTGCAATCCGTGCAGCTGTTTATTGCAGATGAACTACATATGCTTGGAGGCTATGGAGGATATGTGTACGAAGTAGTGGTGTCGCGCATGCATTCTATTGCCCTTCAGCTAGAGAACGGTATGCGCATCGTTGGGCTGAGCGTGCCTCTTGCTAACGCCCGCGACATCGGCGAGTGGATTGGTGCGAACAAGCATACAATCTATAATTTCAGCCCTCATGCTCGCCCCGTGCCTCTCGAGCTCCATATTCAGTCCTTCAGCATTCCCCACTTCCCCTCACTCATGCTGGCCATGGCTAAACCGGCATATCACTCGATCTTGCAGTTGGCTCCGGACAAGCCCGCGCTTGTGTTTGTACCCAATCGCAAGCAGACAAGAGCAACAGCTATTGATCTATTGGCTGCTTGCGCCGCTGATGATAACGAAGACCGATTCCTTCATGCTGATGTGAATGAACTTGCGCCACTACTGAATCGGATTCAGGAACGGACGCTGGCAGAATCGCTCTCCCACGGCATTGGATACTACCACGAAGCTCTTAGCGCCACTGACAAGCGCATTGTCTCGCATCTCTTCACCATTGGGGCGATCCAGGTTCTCCTTGCTTCACGCGATGTCTGCTGGGACCTGAATCTCACGGCGCATCTTGTAATCGTCATGGGAACGCAGTTCTTTGAAGGCCGCGAGCACCGCTACATCGATTATCCCATCAGCGAAATCCTGCAGATGTTCGGCAAAGCTACTCGCCCTAAGGAGGACAAGATTGGCCGAGGTGTTCTGATGGTACCGTCAGTCAAACGCGAGTATTACAAGAAGTTCCTTAACGAAGCTTTGCCCGTCGAGAGTCATTTGCAATTGTACTTGCATGACGCATTTGTGACTGAGATCAGCACAAGGACAATCACTTCGACCCAGGACGCCGTGGATTGGATGACGTACACGTATTTTTACCGCCGTCTCCTTGCCAACCCCAGCTTCTACGGTCTGAGTGATATTAGCCACGAAGGACTCAGCACTTTCTTGTCCGAGTTGGTAGAGAACACATTGAGGGAGCTGTCGGAGGCTAAGATAATTGATCTGGATGAGGAGGATGACAGCGTCTCGCCCCTCAATGCGGCCATGATTGGCGCTTACTACAACATTTCCTTCATCACCATGCAGACCTTCCTCCTGTCACTCAGCGCTCGCACGAAGCTCAAGGGTATTCTGGAGATTATCACCTCAGCCACGGAGTTCGAGTCAATTCAGATGCGGAGACACGAAGACCACATTCTGCGACGAGTGTACGATCGTGTACCCGTCAAAATGTCGCAACCCGCCTACGACTCGCCCCACTTCAAGGCCTTTGTTCTCCTACAAGCTCACTTCTCCCGCATGCAGCTGCCCATTGATCTTGCCAAGGACCAGGAGGTCATTGTCAGCAAGGTTCTCAACCTTCTCAGTGCGTGTGTCGATGTTCTCTCATCCGAGGGTCACTTGAACGCAATGAATGCTATGGAGATGTCACAGATGGTGGTCCAGGCCATGTGGGATCGGGATAGCCCTCTCAAGCAGATTCCTCACTTTGGCCCCGAAGCCATCAAGGTGGCCAACGAATACAACATCAATGACATCTTCGAATTCATGGAAGCGATGGATCCATCCGAGAACAAGGACTACCCCACGCTGGTCAAGCGACTTGGTCTCGATAACTCACAGTTGGCTCAAGCTGCCGCGTTCACGAACGAGAAGTATCCCAACCTTGACCTTGACTTCCAGGTGGAGGATCCCGAGAACATCACATCCGGCGAGCCGGCGTATCTCAAGATCAAGATTGAACGGGAAGTCGAAGAGGACGAGGAACCTGACACCACTGTACACGCGCCATTCTACCCCGGCAAGAAGATGGAGAATTGGTGGTTGGTGGTGGGAGACGAGAAGACGAAGAATTTGCTTGCCATCAAGCGAGTTACCATTGGACGCAAATTGGAGTTGCGCCTGGAGTACATTGTGCCTACGCCTGGTGAGCATGAGTTGACCCTGTATCTGATGTGCGACAGCTATGTGGGCGTCGACCAAGCTCCTACGTTTACTGTGACGGCAGCTGAAGGCATGGAAGAGGATGAAAGCGAGGAGGAAGAGGAGTAAAGGATTTGGATTTATAAAATCTGTTGGCACTAGATCCGTCTGTTAATTTTCTTTGTTGTATTTATACGGTCAATCTACGTGGAAACAATGATAATAAAAATGTTCGATCCAATACTTCAGATCAATCCGTACAGTTAGTAACTGATTAAAGGGCGATCTTCTCCTCACGCGATAAGACAGCTCTCTCCATTTCTCCAACCTCCTCTTCTCTTCCCCCTTCCATCCCCCACACCCCCTCCTGTTCTGCCCCGTCCATCATTGTTTTATCTTACCAGTTTGCCATATATACAGTATAATAATAACCCATTATCTACAAGTTACACAGTTTTGTTTGTTCAACCCACTCGCATTGTCTTCCCCTCAACGCTTGGCGCTGATCTTATCAGGACAGCTCTTATCACTGTGGAACGGACATGACCATCCGATCAATGAAGTTTACTCCAGAGTAAGTAGATAAGTCTCGTCTCTTCCTAGAGCCGCGGAAGATCTAGAGTCAGAAAGGCATATTTTACCCCAATTTGGATCGTTGACTTGATCAGGGTCCTCCTGGGAGCTCCCCGCCGCTCTGGGCCCATCCCCAACTCCTCCGGGACACTTGCCGTCTACACACAGACTTCCTATTCCTTCGACTCTCATTCCAAGACCAATGAGATCCGTGTACTAGACATCGCCACCGGCCGATCGGCGCTCATCACCAACGATCCAGGCGCCAGCAGCCCACAGTGGCTGGATAACAGCGACCAGCTGGTGTGGCTGAAGACAAAGGCAAATGGCAACACCAGCTTCATTGTCGGAGATGCGCGGGAAGTCGACAAGACCTACACTGCGGGCACTGTGCCCGGTCCCGTGTCCGACCTCAAGGTGACTGTTGTCGAGCCGGGCAAAATTGGGTTTGCAGTGGCTGGGAAGGCCAACCCGGATGGGTCATTGTACAACCCACACGACGCCAAAAAGCCTCTCAGTTCTGGCAGGCTGTACACGTCCCTGTTTGTCCGACACTGGGACTCCTGGATTGAGCCACAGCGCAACGCCATTTGGTATGGCTTGCTGCAGCGAGCACCCCTGTCTCCTGCTACTCGACAGGCGGGCAGATATTCCGTCTCTGGGCTGACGAACCTGATCTCGATTTGCGGACTGACTGGGGTTGAGTCGCCTATCCCTCCTTTTGGCGGCTCAGGCGATTTCGACATTAGCCCATCAGCAATTGTGTTTGTTGCGAAGGATCCTGATCTCAACCCCGCGACACACACTTCCTGCTCGTGCTACTACTGTCCGATGTTCTCGTGGACCGGTGTGGGCGCTCTGGAAGCCAAGGTGTGCACGGTCAAGGGCCTCGAGGGTGCTATGTCATCCCCCGTTCTTTCGTCTGACGGCAGCTCGATTGCTCTCCTCGCGATGCGTGAGGATGGCTATGAGTCGGACAAGAACAGAATCCTATACGTTCCAAACCCTTGGAGTGGTGAGATGATTGAGATTTTTGCCTCTGCTGATGGCAAGGGACAGTGGGATCTCAGCCCGTCGGGATTGACGTTCGCTAAGGATGACCAGTCATTATTCGTTCAGGTCGAGGAGCTGGGTCGTGGCGTTTTGTATCAACTTCCGCTCGACAATGTCCGCCATAGTACACCTGATGTGTTGAAGAAGCTCACGAATTCAGGTTATGTTACGGATGTTTTTCCTTTGGGGGCGAATTCATCGAATTTGTTGATCGCCAGCAACAATTTGGTAGACAATAGCTTGTGGACCATCATTGACACGCAGGATACATCCAAGGTCAGGGTCGTCTCATCTATCGGCCGTGCAGGAGCCGCCTTTGGTCTTTCACCCACACAGGTGGATGAGCTTTGGTTCAAAGGTGCGGAGGATCACCCCGTCCATGCGTGGGTGGTTAAGCCGTCCAATTTCAAGCCTGGCAACAAGTATCCACTCGCTTATCTGATTCATGGAGGGCCCCAGGGCGCATGGAATGATCAATGGAGCACTCGGTGGAATCCTGCCGTGTTTGCTGAACAGGGTTACGTCGTCATTACGCCCAATCCCCGAGGTAGCACCGGGTATGGGCAGCCATTTACGGACGCGATCCGTGGTTCTTGGGGTGGCCTACCTTACATCGATATCGAAAAAGGATTTGACTACATCGAGGAGAATTTGGATTATGTTGACACCACCAGAGCCGTTGCACTTGGAGCGTCTTATGGTGGTTATATGATGAACTGGATCCAGGGCCACACTCTCGGCCGTCGGTTCAAGGCGCTCGTCACTCACGATGGTGTATTCAGCATGACCTCTCAGCTTGCCAGTGAGGAACAATACTTCCCGCTCCATGATCTGGGAGGCCCGATCTGGAAGGTCCCAAAGAACTGGGAGAAGTGGGATCCGTCTCGTTTTACGGAGCATTGGCAGACACCCCATCTGATCATCCACAATGAGCTCGACTACCGTTTGACGATAGCCGAGGGACTTGCAGCGTTCAACGTCCTGCAGATGAGAGGGGTCGAGAGTGCCTTCCTGACTTTCCCAGACGAGAACCACTGGGTGCTCAATCCGGAGAACTCTCTCGTATGGCACAGGACTGTGTTCAACTGGATCAACAAGTATGTCGGCTTGCCTCCAGTGACCGATGAAAAAAGCAACGCCTTTAGCTCGAAGAAGACACCGTTGGAGAAGCGTGTAGCTGGTCTATCTCTTTCATAGTCTCAAGTCTCTGTAACGACTCTGTATTTGTGCTTGGATGTGCACAATGACAATGCCTTTTGATATAGCCTCGTCGGTATCCTTGAATTCGAGTTTCTATTTCATAATCTTTGTTCACTACGCTCAATGAATGTCTCATTACATTGTTGAATGATATTATTGTTTGATTTGCCGTACTCTAAGATGAAACGGGAAAGCCTTCGAGACAAAGGCTGAGCACAATGTGGCCGAGTGCTAGTCTGTTGGCACCAACAAAGAGTTCCTATTCTTGTCGTGGCTGTTCTTCACCGTAGCCTTTGTCACATAGCAGCTGTTTCACGGCTCAGGATGAAGTATATAAGCGACGGTAGCCTTTCTCTGATCTCTCTGATCTCTCTGCTACGATCCAAGTGCTTTGATTTGAGCAATCTACTCCCACGCAGCAACCAAGGAAACAAACTTACAGAGTCAGCCAAAGACTATATCTCACGTTGACCTGAACCAATTCTTCCATACATAAAATGCAAGGCAGCAACAATCCCTCCCTCCCCCGTATCGTGATAGACCCGTCATCACCTCAATCCCCAACTATCTCCTGTGCATTCTCACCATCAACACCCACAAACTCGACTCCGAGCCGATCAACACCAAAGTCATCACATCCACCATCACAAGCGGAATCAAAACCAGCAAAACGACCCAAGAAGGTCCATCCATCCTTCCAGCCCATCCTCCGCCATCTACGCACCCCGCTCTGCCCCCTGATCTCCAGCACCACGGGCCAGCAGCATCCTGCATTCCCCAAGACCCTCCTCGCCTACCATCTACTCACCTCTCGCCAACTGGACGATCTAGCCCGTCACTTCCACCAGGTATGGCCCTCGGTGGAAGCCACAAGGGCATACCCCGTCTCGATCCCCGCGTGGATCGGCACACAGGGCGAGAAGAGCGTCGACCTACAGACGAAGCGGCGACGGTTTGGTCGTTTTATTGGGCTGAGGGGGTGTGAGTCGCCTACAGTTAGTACCGCTGGATCTGCGAGGGAGGACGACACAGAGGAGCTTTTGGAGAGGATGGAGTGGGAGTGGGAGCAGGGACTTCTACGGGCGCAACGGGATGATCCCGATGCTATTTTGAGGTGGAAGGCATGGGGGCGTTGATTCCTCTTTTGGGGTCTGGAAGGTGTGTCGCATGTCTTTGTTCGTCTTTGTCTTTGTCTTTGTGATTTGCGGGAGTTTGTGGTGAACTATGCCGCATGCTGCATGGATATTCAGCCTTCATAGACATGGAGTACATTTCAGCTAAACGCATACTAGATTTCATTGGATAGGATTACGTCTCCAAATCACATCAATCTACTCTACGGGATATTATCTGATTAAGGCATCTTGAATCTAATCCCCCGTTTAGCCTGATGGAGTGGTGGGGTAATTTCTTGGGGTCTATTGTTTAGCCTGAGTCGGATAAAACCGAGGTACTAAGATGTATAAGAAGGACGCTCAATATCATGATGTTCACGGCAGCCACTTTCACACGCCAGATAGCTGTCAACTGTCCAACAATATGAGCAAAATGAGCGAACCACTCGTCAAACACATCTACACGGCGGACCCCTCCGCCCACGTCTTCAACAACAAACTATACATCTACCCCTCACACGACCGCGAGACCGACATCCAGTTCAACGACAATGGCGACCAATACGACATGAACGACTATCACGTCTTCTCAATGGAGGCCGTCGGCGGCCCCGTCACCGACCACGGCGTCGTCCTCAAGGACTCCGACATCCCCTGGGTCTCCAAGCAGCTCTGGGCCCCCGACGCCGCAACCAAGAACGGCAAGTACTACTTGTATTTTCCTGCGCGCGATCATGAGGGCATCTTTCGCATTGGCGTCGCGGTGGGGGATAAGCCCGAGGGGCCGTTCGCGCCGCAGCTGAATCCCATCCGCGGCAGCTACAGCATTGACCCGGCGGCGTTTGTCGACGACGACGGGCAGGCGTATCTGTACTTTGGCGGGATCTGGGGCGGGCAGTTGCAGTGCTGGAGCAAGTCGGAGAAGGGGGAATGGGAGTTTGATGCGTCGAAGACGGGCCCGCAGGAGCCTAGCGGGGAGGGCGTGAAGGCGCTGTATCCGCGGGTGGCGCGGCTGACGGAGGACATGCTTGAGTTTGAGGGGGGGATTCAGGAGCTGGAGATTGTGGATGAGAAGGGAAGGCCGCTGGCGGCGGATGACCATGAGCGGCGGTTCTTCGAGGCGGCGTGGATGCACAAGTATAACGGCAAGTATTACTTCTCGTGGTCGACGGGCGATACGCATTACCTTGTGTATGCGACGGGGGATAGTCCGCTGGGGCCGTTCACGTACCGCGGCCGGATCCTAGAGCCGGTGCTCGGGTGGACGACGCATCATTCTATTGCGGAATTCCAGGGCAAGTGGTATCTTTTCTATCATGACTGTTCGCTGTCTGGAGGGGTGGATCATCTGCGGAGTGTGAAGATGCGGGAGATTGTTTATGATGCGGAGGGGAATATCAAGCTGGCTGAATGAGCGCTTGTTGCAATGTATAGCTAGTTGCAGATGTATATATCATGAAGTACGTCGTTTTGCCATCTTGTCTTGTTCATCATACTGCACGACATCAATGTCCCATTCCCCTGGCTTGATTCTCCCTGACAATGCTCCAGTACTTGTCGCGACTGCGAGCTCGGAATGTCTTTCCCCATTTGATCATCACCAGAAACACGGCAGATATGCCCATGCCAATGAACGCCGCGGACACAAAGCAGTTCTGGTATCCCAGGTTTTCAAGCCAGGGTGTAATACTACAGCAAGTCATCGTCAGCACTCGGATTCAAGTCTTCTTGGGCCCTAACCTACCCGTAGCCCATGGCAAACGACATTGTGTTGCGAACCAAGATCACACTAGCCATCGCATCGCCACTCAGCTCCCTATAGCTGTCTACGAGATAGTTGACGCTCAGGGTGATTCCGCAGGTGTTGGCGAGCGCAAGCAGGCACATCGCGACTAGAAGTCCGAACCAGTGGACCTCGTGGGCTGCACCCACACCCCAGAGAAGTAACGATCCAGGGACAAGGATTAGGCATGCAAGGAAGGGCCAGAGGCGCTGCTCGGCTTCCATCACTCCACTGTTCCGTCGAGCTAGTTTGATAGTAAGCCAGTCACTGAATCTTCCGGTAAAGAGGGACCTAGACTGAGTTAGTAGGGCCTGTATGCTGATTGCTCGCAAACCATGACCAACTTACCCGAAAATGACACCTAGACAGCATGCGAGATAGCTCAGACCGACCATTGATGAACTGCCATACTTAGTCGGAAGCATGCTAGGATGTTCTCAGAGTCCTACCTGAAATTATATGGCGCTGACCCCAGAATAAGAGATGAAGTGGCATTCAAAACGTTGAACCATATCAGATACGAGCCATAGGAAAACCTGCCACCGTCAGTATCCAATGTTTCAGATGAGGATGAGAAACCGGTTGACTTACCCAGCATAGAAGATAACCGGCCAGCTCAGGTAGTACAACGTTTGGTAGAACCTCCTAAACATGTTGTTCCTGGGTTGTCGAGGTCCAACGATTGACAGCTTCTGAATATAGGTCATCTTGCTGTAGATAACTCCACACTCTGTTTCATCCGGTTGTGCAGGGATAGGTGCCTTTCCCTGGTCACCTTGCTCGGAGGGGGTCATTGACGACTCTAGCACGGCCTCGACGGTGGCTGTCTCGGCGTGTTTCCGCGCGTAGTTTGTCTCCTCCATGAAGAAAAAGAGGAACACGATAGTCCCAGCGCAGAATATGGCAGGCCAGTAGAAAACCCATTGCCATCCCTGATATTGGGCAATGAAGCCGCATATGACCGGCGCAAAGTAGTTGCTCCCGGCCAAGAAGAAAGCGTACAGGCCCATATACGTCCCTCGTTCATGCGTAAAGTACTAGACTTTATCAACAAGTGGCATGAACGTTTGATCCACAAATACTTACCACATCGGTGACGGTCACTTCTGGAAGGGCTTCGATCGGAGCAACGAAGAAGCCTGAAAGAATACTGCGGCCAATCCACTCGCCGTTCGAACGAACATAGGGACTGTTAGCAGTCTCATCATTAGCGATTGAAGTCCACGACGGAGCATCATGATAACGTACCCCCATACCAATGTAGCCTATTGCGAAAAGACTCTGTCAGTCTCATGACCTGGCAACGGCACAGCTACTTTGCAGACTCACCAATGTTCCAACTAATGAGAGAATGTATGTCAACCGTTTACCATACTGCAACGCAAATGGTTGCCAGAAGAGAAGGCCCCAGCCGGCGAGCAAGAACAGATATCCTGTTCCCTGATTGAGAGTGTCCACCGCAACACCTGTCTCTTCAGAGAGCTGAACAAGCACCGAATACACAACCGAGGTTGAGATTCCCGCAAACAAGGTGTACCTGGATGATAGGGAGAGATCAGCAGTTCGATCAAGAACGCTGGATCAAAACAACCTTTTCGGCTGACTTACACGCTCACACAGATAGTAGATAGTAGCTTGCGCCGTGGGGACCAATTCAGGGGATCATCAGGGTCATTGGAAGGTTCAGGCACGAGCACAATATCTCTATCCCCTCTATCAAGGTGACGAGCGGCCAAGACACCATCCACGTCCACCAGGGTGAACGTGCCTGGGATGGCGTGGCTGTCCGCACGAGGCGCCATGACGAGAGAAATTAACTGCAGAAGGTCAAAATGCTGTTTGCGAATTGCAATGATGCCGTTAAATGTCCTTTGATGTTCTGAATGTATATACACCGCTGCTCAGCCCGATGGGTGTGCAATTGGGCTGCCGATCAGAGTCGAGCGGTGAGCTCAAGGTATAAGTCACACTGCAGAATGTATCTTTCACACTGCTACGAGCTTGAGTTTCGAAGACAACCTGAGCGTCGAAGTTGAACGGTAAGTACGAGTACTCGTTATCTGCTCCTCTCGAGGATCCACCAAGACGCGATATGGGAGATGCACATTCCTGATAGTTATCAGGGCAAGCGCAGCATCACATATGTACCAAATCGCAGAATAGCCGATAAGCATGGGTCGGAAGCATTCCGCAATCATGGGACTGGATAATGATGCACGGATGCATCGAGCTCAGATATCAATGGGGCCCGCTTGACTGCTTATCGGGCTCTCTCCACGAGGAGACGATGGTCCATAGAAGCATTAGATGAGGGAAGCAGGTCCCTGGCTCAGTAGCTCCACCGGTACAAAGACGGCCAATACTTGGTAGCGGACTTTTCTCCTCTCCTGACGGTATTTTGTATGGAGAGAGAGGAACAAGGATGATGAGCTGCTGGTGAGCTTTATTGGACAGTCTCAATGGCCGTCGAGCTAAGCAAGGAGCTAGCCAGCGCCACTGGGGTAGTTGCTTAACTTGCTTATCACCGTAGCTTGACTGGAGTAGATGTTCTCCCCTCCTCGTCTTCCGCGTCATTGGATGGACTCGCCGACGGACATGAGATGAGATAAACTGGTCTGTCTGAGTGGTTGATAGGTCGTGGTCAAGTTGGAGACAGCTGGGTTCCCCCGCACATAAGATATCTCTCAGCAATTATTCTCATTGGATGTCTTCACGGAAACAACATCTACTCATTAGCTAAGTACAGGATACGCATTGGTTCTATAAACTGGTCATTAGAGATGGGTTTACCTACACGCCGCAGAGGTATACTCATCTAGGAACAATTATATCTACTTTCCTACACACAAGTAGACAGACAACCTGGTCAATTCTAGAGACGTTTAAACTCCTGCCCTACCAGCTGCTCACTCCGTGTCCACAACGCTCGACCGTTTTCCTCACCAGCAGGAAAGTCAATGTTCGGCAGAGCAAGAATGTGGCAATTGTCGAGGTATGCGCCAGAGCGTTCTATTCCCGACACAAATCCATCAGCACAATAGCCTCCGGTTGACACATTGCAACCATAGGAGGATCCACTCACCGCTGATATCCGGATCCAGAAGAGCTCTGAGAATCGTGGCAATTCCCTGCGACGCCGACTTTGGCGCTTGTTGAAGAAGAAGCGGTAGATCTTCCCCCACTTCAAACAGGGCTGACTGTCAGGATCTCATCAGCTGCAGGGGGTAATCTGGTTCTGCACGCACACTCTTTCTTCCTTTGGAGCCATGAAGCTACCTGCTCTGGCGAAGCAACGGTTTGAAGGCTTGGCTTGGTGTCTAAAGGATGTTCAGCTTAGGCCAAGATGGAGGAAGACGAGGTTGCAAACTCACTTCCGGCATTGACAGAAAAGGTGCCCATTGACCGTCCACAGCCCGTGATAGCCAGACAGTTGATCATTTGAACGTTGGCAAACATCGATAGAGCATAGGCATCCAATGGATGATATGTCTTTCCATCCTGCAGAACCGACAGAAAACGGTTTGATTACCTTTCGCTTTCTAGGTTAAACAGAGCAAAAACACTTACTGCGAAATTAGGGTCATCCCACGCCGGTGGCGGCGCTTCAGGCCGGATACTAGAGCAAACCATGGCCACCCTTGAACCCGCTGGCATCAAGTGCACCACCAAATTGATCAGGAGGAAATTGCTGAGATAGTTGCACTGGAAGTGAGACTCGATTCCATCCTCCGTCTTCATCCATAGCCCGGCCATTATCGTGGGAAACCCCACAAACCCATCAATAGGCACTTCAAGCTTCTTGATAGCTTCCGCCGCCTCGCGCACAGAGGCCAACCGGCCAAAATCTACCGAGATGAAGATTAGCTTCACTTTGGGATGTTGGTGATTGATGTCGTCGATCATCGCTTGCGCTTCGGCCTGCGACTTGCCCATCAGAATTATGGCGGCTGCATCGCCGCTTGCCAGGGCCTCGGCGGTTGCTGCTGATAGTCCTGTTCCACTGACTCCGGTCAAGAGGACTTCTCATGGAACGAGATTCAGCTTATGATTGCAGTGTTTGAAAGGGCTGGATATGCTTGGCCTACATGTTCGTTTCTTGACGCTCATGGGAAAGGCATTGACGACATCGGCACCTTTGGTCTCGGATCCCCATTCGATGGCCATTTTTGTGGCTGTCAATCAAGAGCTCACCGAGTCTGTACAGCTTGGTAGCATTAAGAAGCCTCACCTGTCGCAGGCCGTTTGATCGAATGAGCTTTCGATTTTCGTCATCGTGAGTCTGTCCACATTACGTATGAAAGACGTCCTAAGCATTGAAGATATCTATCGGTCCGGTGGACTGTTACCAAGGTCAAGAAAGTGTGAACGACCAATCATCAATAGTATCAGGAAGCAGAGTCGCTATCGCGACAGAATGAAGAAGGGAAGACTTAGTCGAGAGTCCGTCATCGACCGAATTCACTTGTGGTCCCAGACAGAGAACAGTACAATCGAGATACTATTTGATGAGAAATGGTGAACTTCAAGGAGATATCCAGGGAATATGTTGAGCACTCGGCTCATACTTTACAAATCGGATTGAAACACAACGCAGCCCGCACATAATGGCACCGTCAAGACAAGGCGTTGGTCGCACGAACGCGAAAGGAAGACAGGTGATTGTCTCTCAATGGAGAAAGGAAATGTCACTCCTGATAGAATAATCCCGTTTTAGGCTGACCCTGAAGCTATACCATCGTCATCTGAAAGATCCTTGATCACGTCCTTTATGATCTGAATGAGCTCATCGATGTCAGGACGGTCAGCAGGCTCAACCTGCAAACACTTCCGGACTACCTCTTTCACTGGCTCGCTGATGGTTGCGGTGTTGTCTTTACCCGCATCCTCAGCTCCAGCTCGGCCTTTGCCCTTGGTAGCCCCGGGCTTCTCATCCGGGAATCGCCAGTCCCCGCCCAATACACACATACTGAGACTACCGCCGGTCTCCTCGCTTCGGGCCTCAAAGGGGCTTTTCCCTACAAGGCAGGCGTACAATGCGCATCCCAAGGACCAGATATCAACCTTGGTGTCAATGATTGACCCGGTCTTGACGTCGAACAGCTCAGGCGCTCGGTACGGCATGGTACTGTGCTCGGCAGCAGTATCTTGGACGGCCAGAGCTAGTGAACGGGAGGTGATAGCAATGGGACTGGGCGCTAGGGAGCCGAGATCCATGAGGATCGGAGTCTGACCGTCATCGTCGATCATGATATTGCCTGTCACAAGTCAGTTCACCCAGCGCATAGAATTGCAGACGCACCAACTCACCAGGTTTGATGTCCCTATGCGCATAAGGGCGAAGTTCTCCCTCCTGAACTCCCTCCTGGCTTATAGTAACCTCGTCATCCATCAACGGCTCGTTTTCTGAATCTTCTTCGTCCACTCGCTGGCTTGCTCGACGCTTCGGCTTGCCCATTTGCATTGATAATTGTGCGTCCGCCTCCTCGCCCTCGCGTCTGACCGCTTTGGCTCTGCGCGTAGATCCAGCGCCACTCTTTACCCGGTACTGGTGCATGGCTTTAAGCGCATTGGCGACACCGAGCATGAGCACCATTAGCCTCTTCTCGGGAAAACGAGTATGGTTCACGAGATTCGCATTGATCGCATCTTGAAGATTCCCGCGTTGGTAGTAAGGAAGCAGGATGTAGACGGTTTTCGATCCTGGTTCGCCGCCATCGGAACGAAACTTCGAGCCCGGCTCCGTAGATACGCAATGGTCTATCGAATGGATGATGTTCGGCTGTGATGTGAATAGGTTGTAGGCTTCGACCTCTTTCAAAGCTTGTGATACAGATTCTTGGCCGAATGGACACCGGATCTTCTTCAGGGCGAAGAGCTCTGATGTCGCCTTATCTTGGACAAGGTAAACGTAGGAAAATCCACCCTAGCAGAGTCGGCAATGTCAGTTGAGGAGGTATAACCACGAAATAACGTGGTCTGGAGATCCGATTGACTTACTTCACCAAGGAGCCGTAATAATTTGAAGCTGCGATTGTTGATTTTCAACTGCGGCGTGCTCGGAAAGCAGCACATGCAATCTGTAAAGTTGTAGAGCAGATCGAAGAAATACTGAGCCATCTTGGACGACGAATCAAGGGAGGCTGATGCGACCGACTCTATACCAGAATAAAATTATGATCGATTTTGTTTTTCGTGATCTCCTCAGCTCATCAACCTGCAGTTGTCGCACAAATGCCTCCGCGGAATCGTCGACGTGCGTGGTCCCGCTGTCCCACTGTGGAGCAATCACCTACTAGGTGCGAGTGAATGGGAGTCGGGAAGCGAAATTGGATAATGTTCAGGGACGAGCGGTCTCGAGGTTGGAGCCGGCGCAAGGATAGGGAACGCCAGAGAATCGTGGGAGATGAAGGTGCCAGGTGGACGAATGGCCAGTCGGACGAAGCGGAGAGATGTTAATCAGGAGAACTGCAAGGTAGTTGATTGTTAGCGCCGCGGAATGGTCACTGCTGTACAGAGTAGTGTCTCCTATGTCTCAGTCAAGCATGTGTCGCAGTAAGGTTGGAATGGACAGGTGATGAATGTCTCATCGACAATAGGATATCTTCAGAGATTAAAGGGAACATCTGCCTTACAGCCGTGGAGTTCGTCGGACGGATTACGCATGGGCACTGTGGAGCAGCAGATAGTAATAATAATAGTACGAGTACCGAGTAGATAACCCATGGTTCGTGTCTCCGTTGTTTGTTATCACTATCATGAGCATCATAATGGCTATTTTAGTATTCCGTAGAGGATGTTGATACATAACAGGGTGTAGCATCATGATCAGACTATCAGTGCAATTGTCGCTGATCGATGTCTCGACGTCAATCCTCTCCTAACTATCTCTAAAAGACCATTCGTCATTCCCTTCTTGCCAATTAGCTCCCGTTCTTTTCATTCTTCTTCTTTGGGCTTCTTCTCTGCCCAACTGGGAAAATAGTAATAAGGAAAAGAAACGCCTCCGTCAACCCCCTTAAACTGTTAACAGTCCATTTGTTGGCTGACAGGAAAGCCATGAAAACTTGGCTGCTCCTATCAATAATCAATCAATGACCAGTCAATGATCTAAAGTGCAGGAGCTCCACTCGTGTCTGTTCTTCCTTATACCGCATCATCCCTTTAATGCCGCTCTTTTCTTTCCCCCCTCCTGACTTGTGTTCCTTCTGAATTTCTGGACCCTTCACCTTTCCGCTCTGGTCGCGTTCGTCCCTTCGAGCACTTTGAGGTCGCTCTCTCTCAAATCTCGAACTCCATCGCCATGGCGCCTCTCGACGATATCCAGGTCGGCGATGTTGTGAACGTTCCCGGGGGCATGTATGGGACGGTCCGCTACCTGGGCAGCGTCGCCGGAAAACCAGGCAAGTTCGCCGGGATCGAACTGGCTCCCGAGCACGCCAAGAGAGGGAAGAACAATGGAGATGTGGAAGGGAGAAAGTATTTCAAGACCACTGTCCCTGGTTCCGGCATCTTTGTTCCCATGAACAACAATCGCTATGTCACGAAGAGATCCTCCACATCCGCCCCTACCGCGACCACCGCCCCTCCGACGCCTTCGCGACCGATCAATTTCAGCAAATCCGTCGGGCCCAGTCCTGCAGTGCCTCGTCCGCGTGTAAGACGACCCTCTCTACCTCGCCCTGAGTCGCCTCGTGGTCTGCCCCCCTCCAAGCTTAGCCTTGCCGGTCTTCGTACTCCGTCCACCGCTTCTCGAACAGGGCCGAGTCCCAATGGCTATCCTCGAAGTCCGGTTAAAGCTCCGTCTCGCGCATCCGATAGGGCTCCTTCCCGCATGAGCGTGGACGATGACTTGTCCTCGGTTAGGACTTCCGACTTCCATCGCAGCTCGATGGCGTCGGAGGTGCAGGAATTGAAAGATCAGATCAAGAGCCTGGAAAAGCAGCTACTGGACCGCGATAAGCAGCTGGAGGAACAGGCCAATACACTGGCGGAATTCCATAGGACAATTGAGGACCTGGAAGGTTCGGATGCCCTGTCCATCAGGGCCCAGCTGCGGGAGAAGAATGAGAGGATTGCTCAGTTGACAGCGGAATTCGATCTCCATCGAGCCGACTTCAGAAGCACTCTCGATACGCTGGAAATAGCCGCGTCGGAGACCGAGCGGGTCTACGAGCAACGCCTGGACGAACTCATGCAACAGAATAAAGAGCTACAAGACCGAGGTGAGGATGTCGAGGCCGTTGCCAGGCAGCTGAAGCAGCTGGAAGAGCTGGTTTCAGAGCTAGAAGAGGGCCTGGAAGACGCAAGACGTGGCGAGGCGGAAGCGCGGGCTGAGGTTGAGTTTCTACGAGGAGAGGTTGAAAGGACAAAGCTTGAGCTGAAAAAAGAGCGCGAACATTCCAGCGCCATGTTGAGGGATGCCCATTCAGGCGGAGATGGAGGCCGGCAGTACTCGAAGGAATTAGATCAGAAAGACGACGAGATTCGCGGCCTCAAAGCCATCATCCATTCATTGAGCAGGGGCGATCCGAACTTCCCTGGCCTGCAAAATGGGCTTGCAAGTTCTCGACAGGACCATGATTCCGAACAAATCGCTCATCTGGAACAGCGTATCCAGGAATTTGAGCACGCAACCGAGAGCAAGAACTATCGCATCGAGGAGCTTGAGCGGGAGTTACAGCAGTTGCGGCTTAGCAATGAAAGCCGTACTCGCAGCTCCACGATCAGCGCTCCAGCGCCTCAACATAAGCCATCCAACTCTGCTGGATATATCGGGACCGCAAACACTATCAACCATGCTCATCGACTGTCTGACCGCACAGTGGTCCCTAATGACTGGCAAGAGCAACCTCATGGTGAAGGTCAGTATCAGCCGTTTGGCTCGCACCACCGAGGAGCTTCGGACTCCTCCCGCCACCGTCTGGAGACCATGCATGAGTCCGATGGCCGCTCTGATGATGGCAATTCATTGTGGTGTGAGATTTGCGAAACCGGCGGTCACGATATCTTGAGCTGCACAAACATCCTTGGTGCCGAAACCAAGAACGAGCATGCACTCCCTGTTGAGCAGTCACACCACGAGGGTTCTGTGGACGGCAAGTCGACCCCCGGGACTTCCATCGCCGGAGAATCCTTTCCTTCAAAGGATGAGGATAGCGCCACCCCTCAAAAGACAGGACGTGATGCTGTCCTGGAGGGATTGAAGGGTATCAGTGGAGGACTCACAGCTTCAATGGCTCCTGTTGCAGGGAAGGCCAGTGGAGTGATTGATGAAACGAAGTGGTGTGCCCTCTGTGAGAGGGACGGTCATGAAAGCATTGATTGCCCTTTTGATGACTGAGCTGCGGCCGTTGCGTCGGGAAGCTGCTGATGGTGGCTCATGTTGGACGATCACATATTTCTTCTGTCCTTGATGTCTGAGCGGGTTTCTCCATTCGGCACATTGCCGAACCTATTAATACTTTTGCATACTCTCTATTCTGGCAACGCCATGCGCCTGTTGCCCTAGACTGCGGTTTTCGCACTTTTTATAATCTTCTTTCTTGGGGGCTCGATGTTATGACCATATGAAGCCCAGCCTTGCCGTTACAGATTCAATCGCACGGCGAGACCTTATTCAGCGCTTGTGTTAATACCTTCATCGCTCTTCGACCTCTCACTCTTTCTGACTCGGCTGTTGCCAGCTCTTTCCTTTCATTTCACCCTCTTTTGTATTCTTACTGTACTTGTTTTCGGGCTCAGTAGACCCTGTTCTTACAAACACCTCCCGCAGAATCGCAGAACCTCGGCCCATCCTACCCATCTTTTATTCCCGCTATGCGTCAGCTAGAATTACATGATGCGTCCAAGCGAGTTGCGGTTTTCAGCTACTCCTCTAGTCAGCAGCGCATTTGGGCCAACGACCTGTGTCTGTCTCATCAAATCAGTGTACAAATTGGAGATTGTCAGAATACAGCACTTGAACAACTAGTACATTACTCATCATCCGGTTTCCCCAGGGCCTTGTTTTCGTCCCGCCTAGAGAGGTACAGGTTAGAAAGTAAACCCAGTCACTCCAGAAACCTAGGTGGCTGTACAATCTCCCCTTCTTGATATCTTGTTTCCGCAATGGTCCCACATCTCTTGCAAGTCCGTTTCTCCTGATCAGCACCAAATTCCTCCACCACCTCCTTCACCTGTGTCCCCAAATCCGTACACACAAACCGCTTCTCCCAGACAACTTCCCCACACTTCTTGCAAAACCACAGCATCGTATCAACCGCGTCTTTGGGCCGAGGCTGCTCCATCACCACACCGACAGTGTCCTTGAACCGGACAGGGCAGTGCGGGGTGTTGGCGGGTAGTAGGAAGATCGATCCTTCATGGATGGGGATATCCTGGAAGACGGGAGGGGAGACTGATGTATCAGCTGTCTTTAGAAGCATGGAGCCTCGGTACTGATAGAAGAATTCTGGGGTCGTGTTGATGTGATAATCCGTGCGGGCATTTGGTCCCCCAACGATCATGACCGTGTATCCGGCTGTCGCGGGCGAGGAGGGGTGATAGACGCAGTAATTATTCACTGGTGGTTGAAGGAGGTGTGAATTTTCTTCGAGCCTGTAACCTGGTCATTACCTGAGTTGTAAGTGCACTTCATGGCTTCGTATCAGAAGATGCTCCCCTGCGAAAGCGGGGGAGGGGTATGCGGGTTCAGGTGGGATTTGAGGTAGGAAATACCATTTCGGGATATTCAGAGCTGGTGGTAGCATTGTCGCAAGCTCTCTATTTACTTTAGACGCCTTTCTGATGCCGAACAGACCTTTAATTCGACGAGCTGTGAGATCTTATTCTTGCAGTCATACATGAAGATTATCAAGCAAAGACCGAAGCCCGATGCGATGCGGTCATCCCGGAGATAGCCGGAGATAGATAAAGGATACACTCGGAAAGGAAAATCGTCTCTCCGACAGATTTTCTCTTTTTATCAAAAATTATCCACACTTTGACATTGAGAGAATCAGCTTCTGATATCGACGACAGGGTATCGGAAGATCTCCAATCCAGCAAACATGGCCACTACATCTCAGCCTCCCCTTCGATTCACCGGTCACAAGAATTTTGTGAACCGACTGGTCTTTTCAACCTTAACCGGCCGTGCAGTCCATATCTCCCAGATCCGTCCTTCGTCTCCCACGAATCCCGGTCTTGCTCCCCACGAAATCTCGTTTCTACGTCTCTTGGAGGCCGTCACAAACGGTTCCCAGATGGAGATTTCATACACGGGAACTATCGTTATCTACAAGCCTGGTCTGATCACTGGAGGCGTTGTGGGTAACGGGGTCACCAGCGGAGGTGTTATCCGGCATGAGCTCCCTGCAGGATGCACTCGAGGCATCAGCTACTTCTTAATACCTCTTTGTCTTCTCGCTCCATTCTCTAAAGCCCCGATCAAGGTACTCTTCACCGGTCCTGGCGTTATTACTTCAGCCACACCCGCTGGGGACATGTCCGTGGACAGCGTCCGCACCGCCATCCTTCCGCTTTACAACCAGTTCGGTATCTTCAACAACATTGAGCTTCGCGTTCTCCGTAGGTCTAACCCCGGACCGAACGGCAGGGGAGGCGGTGGAGAAGTTCAGTTGGTTTTCGGCCACCAAGTACGCCTTCCGAAAACACTGCACTTGATGAACCCAGGCAGAGTCAAGAAGGTTCGTGGCGTGGCGTATTCGGTCGGCGTTTCAGCCTCCAACAATGCGAGAATGATTGATGTGGCCCGTGGCATCCTCAATCCTCTCGTTCCCGACACCTACATTTTCTCCGATGTGTCGTCCGCGCCGCTGGTCCCTGACAGGAACAACCCATCTGCAAAGAAAAAGATCGGTCTTGGCTTCGGTTTATCCCTGGTTGCGGAGACTTCGACTGGCTGCTTGTACTCCGCTGACGTCGCCTCTCCACCTGCGGGTGGCCAGGCGCCGGAGGATATTGGAAAACAATGTGCCTACCAGCTTCTGGAAACTATCTCAAAAGGCGGATGCGTTGCCCCAGCTGCAGCTTCAACCATGCTGGGCTTGATGACTATGGGGTCAGAGGACGTTGGTCGACTTCAATTTGGACGGGAAGTGATTGCCGATGAGAGTATCATCCAGCTGGCCAGAGATTTGGCCAAGTTCGGTGCCCCCGGTTGGGGTCTACGAGATGCCACCGGTGAAAATGAGCAAGGGGACGTTATCGTGAGCGTGGTCGGACGAGGTATTGGCAACGTTGGTCGGAAGGTTGCTTGATCACGGCAAAAACATGAATTGGTGGCATATGACTATCTGCTGCATATGCTCGCTCATGCGGTTATCAACACGAGGTTCAACCACCATTTGGAGGCTTCTCTGCACATCCGAACCAATATAGCAGCTCCGCGCACACATGATGCTCTTGTTCCGATCATTCTCCGGTAACGAGCCACCGGATCTGCTTGGGAGATGCTCTACCCAGGTGTGCATCACAGTCGAGTGAACTTCCTCGAGTCTAACCAAAACGTCATCGCTCGCCTGGTTCTGTTATGTGTGGTGGGGATCCGGCACGAGGTTACTTGTACTTCGGACAACCAAGGTCCTTAGCAGGACAATCAATATTCCGAGGTGTTTGGCGAGGGTAACAAAAGTTTTGAAGGGTTGTTCACCTTTTGCGTCGCACTATACCCATGTTTGATTACCCAAGTTGTTCCTGGACACCTGGCCAGGGCAAATTGAACTGGTATTTAAAGAAGAGGCGTTTTTGGTGTTTCGGGGAAGAATTATTATGGCGCACTTATGCTTGTATATAGAAGTAGATTACCATTGATATCGACGACCAAAGCCTTCATCACGTTTATATTCGTATTCTTCATTTTAAGGTTCCATATCTGCAGCAGTTGCCTTGGGGGTCATGGCCCGCCACCAGCGCAGTACAAAATGGCAGCTGCTCCCCCCTTCCTCCTCTTTCCTTTTCTTTCCTTTCTTTCCTCCCCTTCCACTTGCCCCTGCCATGAGAGTCTACCATTTCTTTTCCTCTCCTGCGCCGTTCTTCTCCTCGTCCTTGTTTCTCAGCCTGAACCACATTCGTTTCTCTCTCTCCGGATATTGATCTTCGCCGTGCTTCACGTGCCTTCCTTCTGCCTCTCTCCCATGTCCCAATACAGTAGCCCCAGAAAGTCGCCTTGTGGCTAGCCTCTGTTCAGAGCACAAACTATCACCTGCATAGGTAGCTGATCAAGTACGTCAAGCTGAGCGAACCAGTTGGCAAGTTTCAAACTTCCTCGTCTCAGCAGAAGCTGATCATTGTCAAATTATGCGCCGTGGAGGCTTGACAAGCGAGCGGCTCGTACATCTCACACTTCCAACCCTCGTTCCTCTGAGCATTATGCCTGGCACCGTGCGCAGGCCCAGTAAGTGACAGAGATTGTATGTATTCCTCTGTCTTCATTGAACTTTCATTCCTTGCTGACAACTTTCAGGCTGGCTAAAAACAATTGTCCGAACCGGAGGCACAGCTTCGAATTCTCCCATGAGCCTGTCCGTTACTTTCCCCTTCTGTCTATAGCTCTACTAACGAGGCTACAGCAAACGCACACCTTTTTTCGAGAACAGACCACCACTAGCCAACAGTAGCTGCATCGTGGCCGGCCCAGTGAGTGACAGAGCTTGTGAGCAACTCTCTTTTCCTCATACTTGTGTACCCAACTTACAATCGTAGGCTGCCTAAACCATCTTCGCCACACCGCAGCGAAGCGGAAGCTCATTATTTGATAATGTGAGCCAGATTTATCCTTCGTGGAGCGTGTTTCCTAATCTGTCTCAGAGCTTTCTGGCACGCCCTCCGCTTCGCTGTTGCATCACTTTCAGGGGATATTCCGTTATCTTTATGGTTGATAGTATGCTGAGCGGATGACAAGGCTTTATGGAGTTGGACCTGTACTTGGTGCGAGCTATGCCCTGGTCAAGGTTTTCACTACAGCAGGATGTTTCCCTTGACGTGGTGGACATCAGTCTGCTACCCGAATAGGAGGGTATGAATGAAGAATCAACGAAACGTCATGATGAATGGTGTTCGTACTGTACTAAATTGAGTTTGCAAGTGTGAGCCCAAAGCTGAAAGGTTGCCTTGGGAATGTGTTCGGTACCGACTAGAGGCTGCGAGAATTGGGCGGAAAGTTTGGAGTGGTTGAAAATGCAACGTGCTGAGCCCAAAGCCTCTTATAGCCTAGAAGGCATCTTTACGAGCAAGACGCCGTGGGGATGTATTTTGCCTTGGGATGTACAGTAAGGGGCATTTGTCAACATCACGGACTGTACTTCTGTCTTGAGGTACGAACGCGTAGAGATGAATAAACAAACTTCTAATATAGATTGACTCGATATCCTACATCTAAGCATCTTCAAATAGCACCAGAATCTAGCAAGAGAAACCAAATAACACGAAAAAAACGCATAGATACTCCAAAAGCAGGCTGCGGTCCAATAAACATAAATGAGCAAGCATTGGTGCTGAACAGGAAATCAACTATGACAGAATGAGACTGGCTTGTGCACCCCAACGCCTTTTGAATGCAGCATACGCCGATTGAAGTGCTGAAAGCGAGACGATGAAGAATTCCACCGAACAGCAAAGGGAAAATTGAGGCAGGGGTGAGGTAACGGGGGAGTTCTTTTCGAACAGGATGGTAGACACAACGCTGGAAAGTATATCAAAGAAAAAAATCTGCGAGATTGTAGCACTTGAAGGGTCATTGACAGAGTGATTGTTTGCGGGTGGCATTTACTCTACGACGTCCTCGTCCTTGCCGGGGTACATGATGTCCTGTCTGATGACGGCACGAATGTGGCAGATGAAAACGAAGACCCACATGCAGACAATACCGACCGACATGGTTGAGCCAACGCCCAAGACGCCAGGGCTGCCCAGTGCCCTCCCCAGGGTAATAGTGGCCAACGTGAAACCAGTGTTAGGGAAGACCATGGCCCACCAGCTAAGATGGAACGCAGTAGGCCGGGCACAGACGACGGCAACAAAGGCAATGAGGAAGAACCAGAGACTCAGGGCCCAGAGGAACACGCCGACGATGATTGCCATCAGCTCGAGGATCCGGGCGTCCTCGATGGCGTGCGCGTCGTTGAGGACCTTAAATTCCTCGGGCAGGCCCTTGGCCATCCCCACTAGCGCCAGCGCGGTGAAAGCCGGAGGCCCCACGCAGATGAACATTGCTGGTCTGTGTTCGCGGCAGGGAAGCCCCGACTGCATGAGCCGGCCGATGTAGTGGGCATACATCATGAAGCTGATTGAGAAGCCGAGGCCCTGGAAGGTAACGCCGGCGGTGATGACGGGGATGGCGGATCGGGCGGGCTGGGATTCGCCGATGACGGAGGCGATGGTTCCGCTGAGCATTATGGGGAAGGCTGGTAAGATCCATGATGGCATCATTGTCTGGAGGCCGTAGGAGTGCGCAGCAAAGAGGAATGAGTACTGGACCACGGCTGTGGCGAGGGTGCAACTGCAGTAGACCCAGAAGAGGACTTCGAGTGCGATGAGGTACGACTCGAGATCGTTGGAGCCGAAGTAACGATGCAAGCCGGTGATAATCGTTGCAATGGATAGCCAGAAGGTAGGAAAGAAGAGACCCTCGCGAGGGTGGCGCAGGCTGTCAAGGAAACCGCCATGCAGGATGAATCTCAGCGCCATCAGAGAACAGACGAGAGCGAATAACAGAAGGTTGATAATATAAACGACCATCCCAATGCCCTTCATTCCGTTGAAGGTATACGGCTGACTAGCAATCAGGAGAGCCAGTCCACCGGTGCTCATCGTCAAGGTATACCAGGCCCAGGTGAAGTGCCGTAGGCGCTCACGAAGGCTCAGTCGAGGAGATTTCTTCATCTCTTTTTCAAAAAGGCCAGAATCTGACTGTGACGATGTCGACGGAACATGATCATGATCGTTGAACATCGTGATTGCAAGGTGCTCGGTCCTGATACGGATACGAAAAGAGTATGGAAGGCAAACAAGGAAATTTATGTCAAGCCTATGAAGATGTGGTAAAACGAGGAGCACGAGATAGGATCCTATCCGGATGAGAGAGTATGTGTAGATGATGTGTCAATGCTCTGACTTCACTACAGAAACCCACAGACAGGGCAAATATGAATCTAGTGAAGAGCACGTAGCAGAGATGGTAAAGATCAGCCTAAGTGCACTGGAAAGAATGGATGCACTTTGCGGTGCCCGCAAAAGGAAAGAAGAGAGGGAGATAAGGTGTAATTGTCCGACTGAAACAACGAGATATCGCTGGCGCCATAGATACTTTTTATAACAGACGGCAGAGCCGACATGCACATGTGAACGACCAGCATAAAACATTGAGGGCTTCGGGTTGACAACCAGTGAAGGCTGTCTGGGCCAAGAGTCCAAGAAAATAGAGATGCAAAGGCATCAACAGTGGTTGGCTTAGCAGATATCGCGAAGGACATCCTAGAAACTCATTGCTCCAGATTGGATCAGTGGTGTCCACCAGGAATCGGGGAGGTTAGGAAGGAAACGCAATCAGGCCCTTATTTAGATAGGTCCATAGAGAGCGTAGCTGCAACTCACCTTCTTCCAAAGGAGAGAAGGTTCACTGTGGAGAGTCTAGACAAGGGGAGGGTGAAGGTGAAGCCTGATGCCTAGGGGGATGAGCCATGATCTTCACAAATAGTGGCAAATCAATGAGACTTTGCCAAGAGAATGTCTGGTATGAGAGTGTGCCTGATGAAAGAAGAGCAAATAAGCTATGCACTATGCAGACCACAAATGCAATGTTCTCGCCATGCAGATCCAGATGACGCGTTTTTGGCGGTAGCATGGGTACAGGTCGGAGTGAAGATAGGAGTGCTTGTCACATCATCAAAAAAGGAAGAGAGATAAGGCTTATTTCCCATTTCGTCAGCGTTTTGGCTTCTTTTGCTTCTTACGGTATCGGGTTCTCTCCTTTGGCCGGGTTTCCTGTTTAGTCTTCAAAAGTGGTTGCCAAACTTGTCATGATCTGAATCTTAAGACCTTTCCAGTCTCGACTGCGCGATCTCAAAATTAGAAGCTGGGAATGAACAATTGGGATGGAGGATGCACCTCATCGGGTCGCCCGGTTGCAGCCTTTCGGCCCGAAGCAGTCGAAATTTCACAAAGTGGAAAGGGGCCGCTAAGCCCAGTAGTCGAACCGTAGATCATCGATAGGGAAGGCAACAGCTTTGAAGCCGATTAGACGGGTCTGTGTTTTTGTGAATTCTGTGGGTCCTGATGGCCAGGACACCGAGTAAATCATAGGTGGAGGAAGTTCTGGGCAACATTCGAAATGCCGCAGATTACAGCAAACAGCACCCGAGTGAATCTCAACGTGCGCCGACGCCTTCAATTTGGTATGCCCAGGAGACCGGCCAAGAGGCCCAAGAGAGGGATCGACGACGCATCATCGACGGGGAGACCCGCTGCCAAGCTCAGTGGTGGCTGTGGGAATGAAAACAAGTTAGCGAGTGAGACATAAGGAAAGGGGGATGGAAAGTGAAACCATTACTTGAAGGGACTAGGTTTGCGTGTTGTATTTGCTTTTTTCGAACTGCCCCTGACAGGATGTTATGAGTGGATGTATGGCATTTCCACGCCACGATCTGATGTCTACATCATGACCCTGAAGAGATCATGGGTCCAGAAGAATGTAATCATCTGTGTACTTAGTGGAATCAAGAGAGATGGATTCAGAGGAGAAGTTTATGGAGTCGATGGAGATTCTGGAGCGAGAGGAGATTCCAGTCCAGATGTCGTTGCTGGGAAGACGCATCAATGCTTCTCTTGGCATTGGGAGAATCAACCCTAGGGAGGTAGCAACAACCATTTCTAAGAATAACAACCAGCACTGAAGTTCTGAAAGCTAGTTTTCTCTGTGAGGTAAAAATAATGCATGTGCTATCCGCGTTATTGTCCAGTCTTTCATGTTGCACAGCCAAAGCCAAGAATGGCTGTGATGGCAGATCTAAATGAATCCAGTGCATGGCCAGATAGTTCAGCGAATCTATGATGTGTAAGAATATCTCCCTGGGAGTTATACAAATCTAATACACACTATTCATGATCTACACAGTCGTTGACCCACTGCTTTGGGCTCTATTCCACCGTAACATCAGCATGATACATGGCAACTGCTACTATAGCCATCAGACAGATCAAAGGCCCACTGTCGCCACTCCAACCCCCCAATGTCTCCAGTTCATACCAGGGTATGATATCAAAATATGGACTACGCCAAGCGGGAATATCCACATATCACTCTGAAATATGAATCAAGGCCAAGAAACGGGAGGATGGTCCGTCTCCACACACCTTCCGAGTCTCTACGAAGCGAATCCACTTCGATGTCGGACAAGGTAGATCAGGCATATTTATCTGTTATCAGTAGGCTCGGCGTCGACGTACAGAAGGTGTGTTTGATTTGTCGATTGCAGCAATGGAGGGTTGGCATGATGCTCCATACAGATCGCGGTGAATTGACGTGGTTGTTTAGTAGCCTCCTGGGATATTACTTGGTACGTTCATACAGAATGCTACACTTGTTCGGCCTGCGCATTGGAGTCTGCATACATTATTGAGATGGATTACGGTTAGACACTTCGTCTACTAATCATCATCCAATGGAGGTCATTATCCAAATCTTCAGTCGTGACAAGGTACACAAGGCGTAGAAGAGCAATTTATAGAAAGCAAGCTCGTAGAACAGGATGCACCAAAA